ACATTTATACCACTTTTTTACATCATTTTCATTACATTATGAGGTGGTTTATGCCACAACCAAATAAATTTTTAATTATTTAAAATTTTTAATATTATAATAGAATTTGTGTGGTTGTGGTATATGTCACATCATGATGTAATAAAAATTGTGTAAAAAAATGGTGTAAATGTAGTATTACTCTATTAAAAGTTTGAAACTCTTTCTACTCTTCTCTATGTCCATCTGTTTTTTATGATTTTATTCTCAAAATTTTTTACTCTCTCATTCTTTCTTTCACTTTCTTTTTGTTATTTGTTAATAAAACTTTTGAAGACTAAAATTGTTAAAGGTTTCACTAATCAAGTTGCCACAATTAGCTTCGTTTTTTGTTTTATCAGTTTTAAGTATGTATATTATTTATTTCATTTTAGTTTATTTTATGGTTGAATCATGCTTATTTTTTTGAGATTTTTTTATTCTAATTTGATGGAAAAATGCATAGATCTTGTGAGTTTATTTTGTGTTTTATGTCTAAGAATGTTTCTACTTTCTCAAATTAAACCTTAACTATATTTTACTAAACGTTATTCTTCACCCTTCACCCACCACTTTTCTACATTTCTAACGGTCCCACTACTTTCCTACATTTCTAACGGTCCCACTACTTTTCTACATTTCTAACGTCACCGTTTAGCTGCTCAAAATTATTAAAGTAGTTTAAGTTATTATCTATGTTTATACTAAGAAAATTTTTCCCTTTTTTTATTAATTCATATTAAAAGTCAAGACAACGTTGACTTAATTTAAATTTTGGTTAACTTTAGCTTAGGTTAGGCCTGATCAAAGTCATAAAAATTTATATTATAATCGTTAAAAGCAAAAAAAATAAAAAATAAAAAATAAAAAAGGAGAAATAAGAAATTTGTGTAGAACATTTTTGGTGGATTGTGATTGTTGTAAACTCTTTAATTATGTTGGATTTAAGTAGATCGTTAGATTCCCGTGGTCTTTTGCTCTCTTTAATTGAAGAGGTTTTTCCACGTAAAAATTTTTTTGTGTTTTCTTGTGAATTGGATGTTATTTTCAATATAATTTGCTCAAGGTTTTGCTTCTCATCGATTTATTCAAGTAGTAAAGTATTGTGTTATTGCATTATTTTCTTTCAGATTATTGATATTGTATTATTTCCTTTGCTTAAGGTTTGGTGGTTTTTTTAAAGTTTTCACTAGTTGTTTGACAAACAATGGTGGAACCATGGAGGCTCCCCCTCAGCAAAAATCATGGGTCTGTCATTATGTGTATCTTAATTAATCTTTCGGAACCCTAAAACTATTAATTAGCTGGATAAGAGCTCTATTATAAACTTTGAAATTTAAGGATAAGTATATAGGTACATTAATTATGCAAAAGATAAAGAGTAATGCTATGTCTAAAACTCGTTCTCCGGACAAAAATAAAAGGTTGAACTTTATTTACATAATTAAAGAAATTGGGATATTGAGGGGACATCAAACTAATTCTAATTGTGCATATTTAATTAGCTCCAACAAGAACCAAAAAAATAAAAATGAAAATAAAAACATTTCCATTGTTATTAATGCCTCACGACTAATCGAAACTTGAAGGATTTATACATAACAATACCCCTGTGATAGATATTATGCATAGACTATCTTCGTGAAATTAAACATCAAAATCTCATAAATTAATCACATAAAATTATTTGATCAGATACAAAACAATTCGTCAGAACAAGATATATAAATTGTACAATACTAANATCCATTTGAAAATTTAGATGCATTATGGTGGCGGTGCCGACCTCAAACATTATTGCAACTCTTTTCAGCTATTAAATCATCAAGGAAGATTCATTCATAGGGTAATAAAATAACCACTCTACTCACTCAAAACTTGAGTGGGGTTATATGTTTAATGCATGCATTTTCATTTCCCTATAGCGGTTTGAGCCACGTTTGATTGTTTGTTGAAGATTCATGAACATTCTTGATCTGAAATGGGTTTTGGAAAATGCAATACCACACCCACTAAACACGGATATGATTTATCAACCATTCTTTGCCTTGCCCCACAATTTTGAATAGTGTCAAGAAGAATAATTTGTTGAAAATGTGATCTAAACGTTACTTACATTCTACTTCAATTATCAACTGGGAAATTACAAATGAAAATGGGTTTACGAGTTCTAGGCTTCTAGCTTTTCCCAACTGTAGAAGAAAGATTGCTGTCAAAAACAGCTAATATAACATTCTTTAGTCTTTACTATCCAGTGTCTGTTCTTTAAAGCGTGAAGCATCTAATCCTCCCATAGATATTATACTTTTGTTCTGTGTGTGGAAGAGTTTACGTAAAGTGAGGAAAGTGTGTTTTTTATTTCTTACCTTTTTCACTGTCGGTTTGTGCTTCCTACTGATAGAGATTTGGCATTTTAATGGAAGAAACATTGGAATGTACAAAGACATATGGAAGGTAAAACATGGTCTGCCATTTTGAGAAAAAGAAGAATCAAAGTGGGGGCTCTTGTGAACATGGCCAGCTAATTCATTAAGGAATCCCCACCCACTCTTCCACAGAAATCCAATCACAAACACAATTTTTTCATATCCAAATGTAGTAGAAACTTCTATACAAACTCTTTCTTTACTTTGGCAAGTAGCATAATTGACACACAAAGTACATCCAACAGTTACATTGGAGAGTGACCTTTAATATTGATTACTACATCATAATTCAGATTCATCAAGATATAAATAAGATTCAATTTATTATCTGTGAACTCTTATTTTCCCACAAAAGTAGGGCAAGTTGAAGTGAAAAAGAGTTTATGCAAAGTGGGGCTGATGTGGAAGCCATGGAGTGTCTCAATGGAGATTTGGTTGAGTACCCAAGAAATATGGCCACCTGTGACTGTGAATGCTAACTCATTACAGGCTTTGCCATTGTATGGTCACCAGAAAAAAAAAAAAAGTTAAAGAAAGGATGTGAAAATACCCCACAGCTAAAGACTCAGATGCCCTACTGCAATTTCTCAGTTACTCTCTTTATGGAAATGTGTACAAGAAGCTGCAAACAAAGCTTACTTCAATCATTTACTAGATATCTTTTTTTCTTTTCCCTTATTTAATTCTGTTGCAAGAATATTGTAATTTGTTTACTAAAATCAAAAGTGGACAATTTTTTAAGCACACATACAGCTACTTTTTTCTAACTTCTCCCAAGTTTTAACTTGAGCATCACAAATTTCCATGTTCTAAGGCCATTTGTCTTCCTCATGTAGTGAATTCACCCACATTATTTCTGGGTACAACACCTTATCTCAAGATTTACCCAGTTCACATTTTCCCCCAGTTGAGAATAGACTGAATAGAGAAGCTCTTTTATTGTTCACTTTACAGACTTTCCTAGAATTTGATGAAGAACAGGACAAAATACACAGACCTAGACCAAGACTTATGCTCTACTCAAATTGGAACATAAATCAGGATATTGCAGCCTACATATTTGATCCATTTATTTTTCCTTTTCCCTTTCTCACTCTTGTCTTATTTTACAGACTGCTATCTGTACATAATGGATCCCACCAAGGACTAACTGCCAAGAAAACTCAATTGAATATTGGAAATTGCAAAAGTATCAATGGACTGTTTCATTTCATCAACCTCCAATCACAAAAGATCAAAGGGTGCCTTTAGATGGGCCCAAATTTAAAGGCAATTGCTGTAAATCTGGAAGGGTTTGTCTGCTCTGCTTGATAAAAAAATCTGCTGATATTTCGTTTTTCTGGGTAAATAGACACCACTACATTATTTATCTTTGTTTTCTTTATACCAACTTCTGTTGTAGTATTATGTATTTTATAAACATCAAAATCCAAACTTTAGTAAAGAGGAGAGAAACTAATACCCACCTGGAACAAAAAATAAGAAAAGTAGATTGCGTGAGATATTCATTTGTCAACTTCTGATTATGTAACATTCTTGTAGTCTGTACATTCCCATAAGGTATTCAATTTGATGAATTTTTTTTTTTTTTTAAGTTTATGAAGTTGATATTGACTTTGTAACCTACAAAAATATTAAAAATAATAGTGGATTCTTAACGTCTAGTTTTTTATTTCCTATTTGTTACAGAGACAGATCCTCTCAAGTATTTGTTAATTTATTTCTAAACTTGTAGAAAACATGTTTCTCAAATTCCCATCAGCCAAACAAGAGAGGTAACCACTCAAAATCAATATCATTCTCGATGTACGCAAGACTTTTTTTTTTTTTTTAAATTTTTATGATCAGAGGCATTCAAACCAGTTTATTCGTACTTTAACTAATTTTTTGAAACCCTAAAACTATCGATCAGATACAAACTCTAACGATTACTCCTATTAATAACCATGAACTTAAACTTGAAAGATCATACTCTGTTTTACCTTTAAGAGAATTCAAACTTAGAAAATCATGTCTTTCCCTTCTATGGCTACCCAAATGTGCTGGCACATGCACTAATTGTCACTTTTTTTAGTTTTCTATGTAATTTTCAAAGCTTGTTATGATTATCTTGAACTATGCAAATTCTAGAAATTAAAATGTGTACTGAAGAGAAGAGTTGACATTCATATTGAAGTAAATTTAAACATTGAGTTGTGTTTGGATAATCCAGAAAAAATATCAGAAACCAGAATTGATCAGGAGAGAGAATTTTATTCCTATAAACCAGCTTTAGTAATCATTTTTCTCTTAGAACCGCACCCTTCATTGAAAAAACATTCATCCAGAATCATTTGGCAGGAGACTTAGAAAAAAATGGCGTTTCTGAAATGAATCCTATTAACGTGTGAGACCCACAAAAATTTGTCAAAACAAAAACTCATTTTCATTTAAAACCAGAGTCAAGTCTCTGATTTTACAGCCGACCCTATTGAGTTTGTCAGTTTATGAAGATAACAAAGTGCTGAATAGAAACCCTTCAACTTCAATTAACTAAGCTTCACCAGAACAAAAATATTTACAGAAACCCCATTCCTGTATATTCTTCTCCTCTCAAAATGTAAACACAAATACAAACAAAAAACAGAGATAAACCACTCATATTTACATAAAATTAGAAAACTTGACTTTGGTTTAAAGTTTAAACCCACTAATAATATTCATATATATTTTATCTTTATAAAGAAAAAAAGGAAAAAAAAAAAAAAAATTCTAACAAGTCACCAGTAGACTTATATTATACTCACATAGGAAGTGGAGAAGAAGAAGAAATAAGCCACCTTTGAAATGTTGATGAACTCAGAACGGATGCAAATTTCTGCTCAGGCCATTAACATTATTGAAAAATCCCACCAAGTCCTGCCTATAAGGCAAAAAAGACTTCTTTTTGTCTTCCTCTTTAATGGCTTGGTGGTTCTTCACATAATGCTCTTCAACAACTTTGACCTTCCCCTTGTTTTCTTTACCGCTCTCTTCAGCCGCTACTTTTTTATCACTAGTCTTCTTGTTTGGTGCCAAGAACACAAATGTATCTTTGCCATCACTGTTACTTCTGTAAAGAAAGTCTCTGAATTTCCATCTCTTTGAAGATCCGGTAGAATTGCTCTTCTTGCATGACCTTCCCGGTGAGTCTTGATGACGAGAATTAGCCTTTGGTGTCCACACACAGTAGGTTCCCGGCTGTAAATTGTCGAGATCCTCAGCTTCAGATGATGAACAAGAAGTTGTACTCTCCCGTTCTTCACTCATAAGCTTTCCAAGCGGTAAGCGATGGGAGCTTTTCGATGACGATGATGACCTAGTTGATGAAGAGTTGTTGTTTTCAGTGTTTTGATTTATGTCGGTGTCGTTTAAGAGCAAAGATGTGTCGAAAACGGGGTAGATTGGCCTTATTTGACCGTTGCAGAAGATCTCATCAGCCGAGATAGGAGAGTCAGGTCTTCTACAAACAAGAGCAAACTCAAATTCTTCCTCTTCTTCTTCTTCTTCTTCTTCTTCTTCTTCTTCTTCATCTTGGACATTCTTATTGGAATCCTGCACGTTCTTGTCAGAAAAAGTATCATCTTGTTCTCGTTCTTCTGAAAACAAACTCTCAGTTTCCCATTCATAAATACTCGAATCCAAGTCAGATTCTTTCCTGAATTCTTCAACAACTCTCGCTGCAATCTCTGCAAAATTGGCTGAAGAGTAGCTGTTAAAGCTCGGAGAGCTTGGAGACAAAGAAAGAAGTGGACTTGCCTGCATTGCTCCCTATATTATTCTTCTCTAAACTCCAGTACCCAGAGCCGCTTATAAAAAACTAAAAAAAAGCAGAAACAAATGAAGAGGAAAGAAAGAAGTTGATATATAGAACAGAAAGAGGTTGGTTGAAATGAAGAAAAGTGTGGGGTTAGAGGTGAGATATATATAGTGGTAGTGCTTCTAAAACCATTTCATAATTCAGAATTAACATCGAAATAAACATTTATACGCGCTTTGGTAAAGGTAGGCGTGGCGTTTGGTTTGTATGACCAATAAACCGTTTACCTTTGAAGACTTTTAAATAGTTTGTAGATAATATTATAAAGAAATATTAATATACAGAACAGAAGATTTTGTTTTGGTATTGTGATTTTAATGGGAGTTTGTATTACGTAACTGAGAGAGAAAGTTGTTACTTTGTTCACACGTAACACGAGCTGAGTCCATACGTGGAAGAGTTCACATGTGTTTGATAACCAAAAGTTTTTACATCATCTAAAATTCCAAACTTCATTGGTCTCAGTTTCATGTCAAGTTGCTTTCTTCTTCCATTTCCTCCAACATCCAGGAAGAAGATGATTCTTATTATGAGTTAATCAAAATCTTATAGGATTTTTGGTTGGTTCCATTTGTCATAAGAACTCATCAAAGTACCCACAAAAAACAAATATATTTACGTGGATAAACGAAAAAAGAATAAAGGATGATCTAACATGGTCTCTCAAGCTTGAGTCTCTTGAATGGTAAAAGAACGAAAGAATGATCTAATATGATCTCTTAAGTTCGAGTTCTCTTGAGGATAAAAAAGCAAGAAGATGACTTAATATGGTCTCTCGAATTTGAATCCCTACGATTATTAACAAAAGTGACCATTAGAGTTCTTATTCGACTGATAGTTTCAATCTTCTAGGATCCGCGGGGATTAATACCTTTAAATCAGATTAATTACGTCACTAACTTTTCTATCATCTTCATTTTATAATTTTTTTTTGTATTTATATAAAAAATTGTAGAACCTTTAAAGGTGCATATAAAAGTATGGCAAGGGAATGGCGGTGACCACCATCAATGGGCGGATTGTTGTCACAGTCTGAAAATTTGGTTGCCCACCACGTGTGAAGTTCAAACGCCACACACTTTTTCCCACCATTTTCTTGGCTGCCAGTGCCAGGCCAGCCAGCCAGCCAGCCACCACCCCCCTTCTTTCATGAAAATGACCTTCAGCTTTAACTTCACTTCACCATTTGAGTACTAGCTTAACCACAATTAAATACCATTTCCATTTACATGTGTGTTTAAGGTTTTATTAAAGACAGACGTGAGACATATTCTATTCTCCATCAAAGTTCAACAAGTAAAAAGACAGTAAAATCTGTAGCCCAACTTTACATCTCATCTAAGCCGCAGATATTGCACGAAATTGAGCTGTAGAAGAAAACATGCGACACTTGGTAGAACCAAAACGTGGGAGAGTTGCAAGTATATAGTATATATAATTATATATTATAATTTGAAAGCCTTGTTGGGAAAGAAAAACCAGCCAACTTTGGTTTATGATGTTACCCACCAAATAATATTTTACTGAATAAGTGGGTTAAATAATTACTACGTAACATATGTTTGGTGTTACCTACTAAACAATTAATATTTGGGTTTTTGTTATAAACTTAATTAAAACAATTATATGCATGATTTGTTTGAATGAGTATGCTGGAAGAAACGCATGGGTGAATTATGTATTAATTAGTTGATTAATTTTATTTATTTATTTTAAGTCTTTTTAGTTCTAATTTTTTTTCTTTTTTTTAATGATCAGAGTGTCTATACTAGCTTATGCGTATTTCATTATCGGTCGGATAACAGTTCTAATGGCTACCCCTATTAATAATCGAGAAAGAACTCAAATTTAGGACTTCTGAAATAATATACACAAAAGTCTATGTCGAACCACTTGACTACCCGACTACCCAGAGATAGTTTTGTTAGGTCTAAATGTTGATTAGCTGAAAAACTTTGGTGAGTCATGGGTTGATGACTTTATGTTGAGTCATGCGTTGATGTTGATCAGTGCAGAGAATTAATTTTCTCAAGTGATTTTCATGATGATATTTTGGATCATTCCTTTCTCTAGTTTCAAGTTTCCGCATTGAAAAATTTGTCATTTGTAATTATATAAATGGGTTGTGGGTTATCATCATGAGTAGCTGTATATATCATGATGATTATAATTTATAGCACGTTTAGATTGATTGAGTTGTGAAAATACTTTGATATCAAGTAAAGGGCACTTCACCTCTCTCTATTCTTGCAATCAAAAACCTATTTTTGTAGCCGTTTCGGTCACCTTCATGATAAATTTGGATGCTTTGTAATGAATTTAATCCGACGCAGAAATACCTGGGGCTGGGTGGACTGATAAAAACCTGGAACTTGAGTAAAGTCTAGACTTTTTATATTATAAATAAATAAATAAATAATAGAATGGGTTTGACAAAACATTAAAAGAAATGAAAAAGAAAAGTCAATGAAAAGGCTAATGTATATATTTTTGGACCCTCAAATAAAAAAAAAAAAAGGAATTGATTTTCTTGTTGTGTGGGAAATTGGCAATAGAAATATATGCTTCAGTGGTTGGGTTGGCGTGAAATTTCAAACCCAATTTGATTCAATCAAAATCAGTGACAGTGCATGATAGTGAAGCCTTATAGAAGCCAGTAATGGCAGGAATTTCTATTGTTCTAGAAGAGTTACTGTAACAGATAATTCACAATTATTCCAAAAATGAATCCAAGTTATACGGCTTTTACATTAAAAATCAAGGGAAACCAAAGTCCATCTTTTCTAGAAAATATGTTGTTTTCCATATTGTCTATACTGGTTGTCAAATCGAATAGATAATGTATTTTAAAATCTAATTTTTTTAACCTTGTATCACGTGTCCTATTGTATAGTGGGATATATATTTTTTTTAAATCAATAAAATAATTTTTTTCAAAATTAATTAACGAATTTTATGGTATTATTGACTTTAAATTATAGTATTACATAATCAAAATTAATTACAAAATTAAGAATCTTTATCATTTCTTTTTAACCATTCATATTATTTTCAAGATCAATGTCAATACCTATATCTCCACATGTGTGATAATTATCACGCAAAATGGGCAGTACATCTTCCTCTTTACTTTCTCTAAGCCAAATGGGTAAATTTGGGTAGGTTTTAGTGAATCGGGTTGGGTGATTCGGATCTAACTCGAAATTTCTTTTGGCCCTTGAGCCAAAATTAATAAATTCGTATAGATTTGTATTGATATTTTTAAAGATATGAACAGATATGTATCATATCGTAAGATACATATCAACATATCAAAAAGTTTAGGATATACTCTTTAATATATATTATTGGTGACTTGTATCGTAGAATATATATCGCATATCGTAGGATACTAATAACCATTAGCTCTGATTGTTCAAAAAAAATCACCTTCCTCTCTTACTTTTCTGTTAGGGGTAGCAAAGAATGAAGTATCCGCCAAGTTTCAGTTTTGGGCCTTTGGCGGCGGCTTAGAATAATGAGAGATTATTTTATATGGAGTAAACGCCATATTCCTACCCAAGGTTTGACGAAATCCTAGGTGAGGTGAGGGAATGGCGGTGACCACCATCAATGGGCGGATTGTTGTCACAGTCTGAAAATTTGGTTGCCCACCACGTGTGAAGTTCAAACGCCTCACACTTTTTCCCACCATTTTCTTGGCTGCCAGTGCCAGGCCAGCCAGCCAGCCAGCCACCACCCCCCTCCTTTCATGAAAATGACCTTCAGCTTTAACTTCACTTCACCATTTTCATACTAGCTTAACCACAATTAAATACCATTTACATTTATATCTGTGTTTAAGGTTTTATTAAAGACAGACGTGAGACATATTCTATTCTCCATCAAAGTTCAACAAGTAAAAAGACAGTAAAATCTGTAGCCCAACTTTACATCTCATCTAAGCCGCAGATATTGCACGAAATTGAGCTGTAGAAGAAAACATGCGACACTTGGTAGAACCAAAACGTGGGAGAGTTGCAAGTATATAGTATATATAATTATATATTATAATTTGAAAGCCTTGTTGGGAAAGAAAAACCAGCCAACTTTGGTTTATGATGTTACCCACCAAATAATATTTTACTGAATAAGTGGGTTAAATAATTACTACGTAACATATGTTTGGTGTTACCTACTAAACAATTAATATTTGGGTTTTTGTTATAAACTTAATTAAAACAATTATATGCATGATTTGTTTGAATGAGTATGCTGGAAGAAACGCATGGGTGAATTATGTATTAATTAGTTGATTAATTTTATTTATTTATTTTAAGTCTTTTTAGTTCTAATTTTTTTTCTTTTTTTTAATGATCAGAGTGTCTATACTAGCTTATGCGTATTTCATTATCGGTCGGATAACAGTTCTAATGGCTACCCCTATTAATAATCGAGAAAGAACTCAAATTTAGGACTTCTGAAATAATATACACAAAAGTCTATGTCGAACCACTTGACTACCCGACTACCCAGAGATAGTTTTGTTAGGTCTAAATGTTGATTAGCTGAAAAACTTTGGTGAGTCATGGGTTGATGACTTTATGTTGAGTCATGCGTTGATGTTGATCAGTGCAGAGAATTAATTTTCTCAAGTGATTTTCATGATGATATTTTGGATCATTCCTTTCTCTAGTTTCAAGTTTCCGCATTGAAAAATTTGTCATTTGTAATTATATAAATGGGTTGTGGGTTATCATCATGAGTAGCTGTATATATCATGATGATTATAATTTATAGCACGTTTAGATTGATTGAGTTGTGAAAATACTTTGATATCAAGTAAAGGGCACTTCACCTCTCTCTATTCTTGCAATCAAAAACCTATTTTTGTAGCCGTTTCGGTCACCTTCATGATAAATTTGGATGCTTTGTAATGAATTTAATCCGACGCAGAAATACCTGGGGCTGGGTGGACTGATAAAAACCTGGAACTTGAGTAAAGTCTAGACTTTTTATATTATAAATAAATAAATAAATAATAGAATGGGTTTGACAAAACATTAAAAGAAATGAAAAAGAAAAGTCAATGAAAAGGCTAATGTATATATTTTTGGACCCTCAAATAAAAAAAAAAAAAGAAAAAAAAGGGAAATTGATTTTCTTGTTGTGTGGGAAATTGGCAATAAGATAAATATATGCTTCACTGGTTGGGTTGGCGTGAAATTGCAGGGCCCATTCCAAACCCAATTTGATTCAATCAAAATCAGTGACAGTGGCATGATAGTGAAGTCTTGATTGATAGAAGCCAGTAATGACAGGAATTTCTATTGTTCTAGAAGAGTTACTGTAACAGATAATTCACAATTATTCCAAAAATGAAGCCAAGTTATACGGCTTTTACATTAAAAATCCAAGGGAAACCAAAGTCATCTTTTCTGGAAAATATGTTGTTTTCATTACCGTCTATACTGGTTGTCAAATCGCATGTATTCAAAATCTAATTTTTTGGATAGTGTATCACATACTATATAGTAGGATTTATATTTTTTTAAATTAATAAAATAATATTTTTTTTTTTAAATTAATATTATTCATAAGATTAATTAACAAATTTTGTGGTATTATTAGCTTTAAATTATGGTATTACATAATTAAAATTAATTACAAAATTAAGAATTTATATCATTTCTTCTTAACTATTCATATCGTTTTCAAGATCATTATCAATACCTATATCTCCATTTATGTGATAATTATCATATAAAATAAGTAGCATATCTTTCTCTTTACTTTCTCCACGCCAAATGGATAAATTTAAGCAAATTTTAGTGAACCGGGTTGGATGATCAAGATTTGATCCGAAACTTTTTTCGACCTTTAGTCCAAATTAATAAAATCATATAGATTTGTATTAATATTTTTAAGGATATAAACGGATACATATCGTATCATATGATATGTATTAATATATCAAAAGATTTAAGATATACTTTTTAATCGTGTAATACTAATATCAATGACTAAAACTAATTAATTAGCTCTTATTGTTCAAAAAAAAAAAAAATATCACCTTCCTCTTTCCTGTCTTTTCTGTTTGGCGTGGCAAAGAATGAAGTATCCGCCAAGTTTCAGTTTTGGGCCTTTGGCGGCGGCTTAGAATAATGAGAGAGTATTTTATATGAAGCAGTCTTGGGATTTTCTCTTGATAAATTTAGGGTGAGAAGATCACAACGGGCCTAGTCAAAGAATAGCCATAACTCCTAGTCCAAGTCCACCACTCAAACTAATGCATTGTTAGCACACAATATTTTACTATTTTATTTGCTTGGTGGTTTTGAAGACCCCCATGTAAACCGACCACTCCAAACAAAAACTAAACTAAACGAGACTAGGGTCGGTTTGATGGGATCAAAGATTGTTTAATGGATTGATATTATACTTTTTTTAACTGTTCATTGCCAGTAAATTTTTGTAACAATCCGCTAATCTGATACTTTATTAATTAAACCAATCAAAGGGCCAATTGTTTTTACTTGCCCATGTTTTTGCTCACCCATTGTTTTCGTCCGTAATTATGCATTGGAATTTGGATTAATATTTGTGGCAACTGTCTTTTATCTTTTTGCTCACCCTTCCATGAACTTCTTCCATCCAATTGAAAAACATTGGAATGGATTTGGTCTATACAACATCTTCTTATTGGTGCTGTACAAACTAATATCATTTTCTGTTCATGATATGAGATTAGACAACTGTGGAAAATTTTCTTTACTCAATTGAACAACAAACTGCTTAATATTAATAGAGAAAAGCAACTACATCACTTGAAACACTACTCACTACACTACCAACTGCGTGGCATTCAAACCCTACAATATCCACATGTCAGTTTCCCGTTCCTTCTTCCTGATCTCAATGGTGATTTGTCTAAATGCCAGCAGTCTGATTATTTCAGTACAAAAGTTCCCGGTTCCACTTAGCCAGTGTTCGTACAACTCCAGCCGGTATTCAGAGTTTCTGGAGAAAAGAAGCACATGATTCTTTGTCAAGATAAACTAACACAACTTTGGTAGTCAAAGAGGCCAAAATTTAAATGAATTGACGAATTAAACTGAAAAGAGAAGTACATAAAATTAAAATACCGAAGATATTCGACCAAATAGAGATTTTAACTAGCTGCAAATATAGTTTTGACGAATCAAGTATTATTGCTAGGCACTACAATGATGCATTATTATCAAGTTGCTCCCAAGGGGTTATGTGTTTTCAATAACGAAATAATTTTGCAGTGATATGACATCCACTAGGAGGAAGAATATTCAATTATGGCCTACAATATAAATCACCTAGTTGACAAAAACCATTTTCCTTCCATCATATCTAGATTTTATTCCACTACTACAGCCTAGTTCATACGCCACAAAGAACCTTGAGCACCGCACCAATCACAGCATATATGATAAAGCCAATAACACCAGTACAAGAACTGACTTTTTAGCAGACTACGATTCTACCTACCTTTTCAAGTAAAAAACCACCAATATTTGCTTGCCTGCCTTGCTTCTAGCAATTATACCTGGGTTCCACAGCAACCCAGGGTCCCATATTGATGCAGAATATAGCTTATTTCTCTTAACACTATCTTAGGAGATCATTGGGCAATATATAGTAAACCAGTATTACACATAGGATAACCTCTACTCCAAAAATTTCTCCGTCCTAAAAAGACACCGAATTTCATTGACTATATCAAATTATTTTTAACTACCAACTCAACTACTACAAATAATTTTAACAAGGTAAATTTAACAGTAAATGAACTGCTCAGGAACTCTATGGTGGAAATAGAATTTCTTTACCCAGTCATGTTTATAACTTAAGCCTGCAAACTGATATTAAAATAGCTAATTCATTCAGGATAAAAATTATGACAGCATAAATTAGTTAAGCAGATTCTTCAATAAGAACATAATGAATCTGAGAGAATCAGATTTCGTAATCAGACTCCTAATCCCTACGCAAGAACAAATTTTTGAACTAGATGCTGGTTCCCAAAACGAGATAAGTGATAGCGTCAAGAATGGTTCGTACTTGTAAAACCAATTAACAGGATTGAAGATACCATTTTAAATACAATGGTTTTATGTCAATTCTATTACTTATGTATCTAAACATAATTGCCATAGTCATCATAAACACAGTTTCTCCACAATGCTAAGTATAACAAAAATGAATTTTATGTTAGTACCTTAGCCTGATAAGATTTGATGACCGCAATCAACAACTGATCTCCAGCAATTTGTCTCACTCGTTGAATGAGTTCACGCCGTGATATCTTATTTTCCTGGAAAACAAAAGTTCAAGCACACGGATCAAGAAGTTGTAAAGAGACCAAATAAAATAAAAAATAAACAAAGCCCAACCAGTACAAGCCAACAAAAAAATAAAAAATGGAGAAGCACTTACTCTATGATCTCTATGGTATTTGCTGATCAAAGCAATAGTGGGCGAAGGTAAAAACTTCGACAGTGCAGAAATGAGAATTGGAAATGGCAGCCACGGTGAAGTTGGCATTCTCAATAATTCCTGAGCTCTCCCAAAACCTACACAATTAGACAACAAATAAGATTAACAATCTCATCTGAGGACTACCAAAATAAAACACTATCTAACAAGCTCATATTAAAATTCTTCCCAAAAAAAAAAAAAAAAAAAAAAAAAAAAAAAAAAAAATTGAGTTACTTACCCTTCAAGGAAGAGGGAGCCTTTAAACTTATGATGTACTCTGGCAGATATGAGTGTTCATGTTCTGCTCCACACAATATACTCCTTGGCACCTTTAAGTTGTCTGCACCAGAATCAAACTCCGTTGAACTCGGATGAGACTGATCAGAACCAGGACGCACAACCTCTACCTTGCCCAACATAACGCGGCACAACAACATATATCGTAGCCCATCTTTATCTACAAGAGAGTTCTTCACACTGCAAACCAAAGAAATCACAAATAGCAAACACAATAAATAATACTCAAAAAATAAAAAATAAATAAAAAATCATAAAATAAAACAACAATTGCTTACCATTCCATGGGTGAATCATCAGGACAGAGATAGATGCCGCAACCATACAATCCATTGTTATCAGGCTTCCCACAACAGCCAAAACCATGCTGTATAATCTTGCAAATCTCATATTTTGTACTAGAATACCAAGCATATTTCACATTTGCATCACCCCCACATTTTCTAGCCAACGCTTTGGCAAAAATCTGAAAAGATTGGACTCTAGCTTGTCCTATAATACCAGGGAACGAGTTTCTTTGAATGCCCACTATCTCAGCTCGTGTCCCAAGCACACCCAAACCCGAAATCAATCTTCGTTTTATAAGATCATAAACTTTGTCTCCTTCATGCAAACTAATCAACCCCTCACCCAGTGATGGATGCGGATCAAAAGCGGAACCAGAATTGGCACTTTCACAATCAGACATTACTGAATCATCGTCATCATCATGTGTAGTATCTAAACCTGAATTCCTTGTATATGTTTGTTGGTTTAACTGACTATCTAATGTGTGTTTTGTTAGGCTGTTAGAAGCTAAAACGCTAATATCACGTGTAAATTCCATTTTGAACTAGGAAGAGATTAAAAACCAAAAGAGATTTTATAATTTAATTACAGAAATAAGAACAAATATCTACAGAGAAAAATCGACGAATTTGAAAACAAAAAACGAAAGATGTAAGGAGAGGAGAAATTCAAAAGCAAGAAACCTGTAAGCTATACATCTCTAACGAAAACATAAATTTAAAATAAGAACCTGTAAATTTGATTGGAAAATCAAAAGCGCGAGGAAAAGGTAATGAAAAATGAATGAATGAAGAAACTTGGAGAAGAGTTTGAATAAGAAGTGAAAACTTGGAGAAGGAGAGAAAGGCAGAGAAGGCGTTACGTATTTATAGTTAATTAATGGAAACCGACGAGTTCCACATTGTTGATTTCGGGTTATACTTACATGGGTTTTTTGGCGGTGCGGCGCTGGCGGTTTTGGGGCCTGTCGTTTTGGTCTAATCTAATTAGAGAGGCGGTACTACCCCGTTCTCTAAGCCTCAGCTGTTGGATTTTTGAACTTGTGTTAAAAGACAATACTACCCTTTTTTTTTCTAGATGGGGCATTGTTAAGTGGGCCTGGTTTGGTATTGATTGGAGCATATGTGATTTATTTCCCCAAGTAATTAAAAGAGTTATCTTGGGATTGAAGGTCTTGAGGAAATCAATTTGCAAATAATGTTGGAGGTCTAAGATGCAATTAACAATTCTTTAAAATTATTTAAAAGAATAGGCTCATGGCAAGCGCGAGATCGCTTGTGACGTGTATGTGGACGTAGTGCTAGTAGCTGGAGGTTAGAGGTAAAAACGAGTATGAATATGATAAAGACAAGTTGATTTGGGTTTGACTCAGCTTAATCCATATTAGGCAAGACAATGAAAGTGACCAACTTGCTAATGTCGGTTTAATTAATTTTTTTTCTTTCTTTGTATTAAGAGTTTTGCGGTTGCGTAAGTAACCATAATATGGTTAGGGTTGTGGATATGGACACGGAATAGAAAGTTGTAGTTTTGAGTTTCCGTTGGTGTGGCTTAGTACCCAAGAAAACTGCTTGGGTCGGGTCAACCAATGGGCTATTCTACAGTTTAAAACCCTAATAGCTACCGGCCTTATCCTTGCCACGTTCAAATCCACCTTCTACAGAAGATAAAGCAATATGATAATAAAAGAACATGGGGTCCAATTCTTTTGGACTCTATTTTTAGAAAGATCTCTTTGCACATGGACACAAAGCAACCTCCCTGACATGTATTTTATTATAGATCAGGAACTGCCATGTTTAACCAAATATTCTGCTGTAATATTTGATTTTTATTTTGAAAGTGAATAAACAGGTTAATTTTTTTTTTTATAAATATAACTGGAATTCATCATAATTGTGATTTGTGGGTAGTTTTTCTGATCATAAATTTTAAAAATGAATATGCCTCAAGCATCAATTGCAGAAGCCTGAACAGATACCCCTCGGTCTTTTTTATTGTCCCCAAAAAATGTCCTTATTTTATACTTGAAGTCCATAAAACTAACCATTGATAAATTTGAAATACTTTGGCAGCAAAAGTTCTAATTGAAAATTTCCATCAAAATCTTGTCATTCTTCCTCTACAACTTTTTGTCACTCTAGATTGAATTATTCAAAAGTATCAATTCTTCTGTACTACTTATCCTTCAAGATGAGTCGGTATATATACATTATAAACACTCATAACTCAAAACATAACTTTACAGGGAAAACAATATGGCCGCCTGTACAAGATGACTAGATGCTGTTAGTGTATATGTTAATTGTATCACAGCCATGCTCCCCATCCAGGAAACATTAGACATAATCGCTCAGGATCGATGGCATCTTGTATAAGTTGTTGTACCTACAAAGAAAATACAGAGAAATATAATCTCACAAGTTTAAATCCTTGCCAAAGATAAATGAGCAAATCTGTATTTATAAAATAATTGATTGCAGCATAAAAGCCCAAGCAATTATATGAACTGGCCATTAGATTACAAGCTTGTTTAGAGGGCAACATTTTCTCCTGTGATGTGCATGCAGTTGCAAATCTAGAATCACTTCAAGTTACATGATAATGTAATCATGTTATTTCCATTTGTACAAGTGTGAATGTTAATGTGTTTCTAATATTTTAGTAGATCTCAAGCTCATAAAGTGAGACAGTAAATGAAAAAAATTCACACATGTAACAGTATTTACTTATACTAAAGGTACATGCATGCGACAGTGACACTGTAAAATTACCTTTAACCTTACTAGCTGCTTCGCAGATTTAATGGTTGCTGCTATGTAATTAAATACCCCAAAATTCTAGGCTATTAGGGAGATATGACACAAATTTTAAGTTTTGAATGTAACCCAAATGGTGGTACAAATTGACCAAAATTTACTTTTACCTAGAAAAGAACTCAATGACAGTATTCTGATTCTCACATGTTACGGTTACCCTGGTCTCAATCAAGTTGCATTCTTTGTTGTCAAGGTCACATTATTTCCTGACCTAAAATTTTACCCTTTGAATCTTTTAGGGTATAATGATATTTTTGTTGGTGTTTTGAGCTAGATTTCCAAAGTTACAATTTTCGAGTATTTTCCATTAATTGGGTACCTTACCTGGTCATCCTCTCAAATTACCAATTAGTTGTCATTGAGATTTACCCCAAGCTTATCGATAGGGCGGACAATGAAAAGTTCGCACAAAGACTAATTACTTAGTACATGCATATGTGGCATTGACACCTGAGAATTACCTGCCCATGTACACTTCTCATTTCACCACCTTCATATCCATCTAGCTTTTGCTTGACACGCATTAGTGCACGTGCAGCATCCTTGTTTCCTTCATATTCACCTTCTGTGCCTTCCAAGCTTGTCTCCAGATCATCATCCGACTCCTATCAAGGTCCAATATCAGTAATATTATATTGCACATCTCAGACCTTTGATGTATTCTGCTGGAACCAACTTAAATGCAAGCAAGAGTTCAATTAAAACGCCAAAGAAGAGGGATATGGCTGACTACGACTAAATTAGCCATGAAGAGCAAATGAAGCCAACAGGAAAATCATGAGGTATGTATGAATTTGATCTACAAACAGTTCGATTTCATATTGTGTATCCCAATTGTAGGATTTCTTAGATTAGAAGTTTGAATTTTAAACTTAGCTATTATCTTATTATTTAAACTTAGTTGTTATCTAGGTGTTATCTAGTCTTTTGAATTTAAATAAGGAATAATTCTAGTTGATTGTTATCAGATTATTTAGATTCAGAAGTGTATTTATGCATTTGCATTAAGAAAATAAAATCAGATTTCATTACTGGTTTCAGCAATAATTATATTATGAAGTTTAAGACTATTAAATTACCTTCTGACGCTGCAAAGCCTTCAAGGGGGATAAGGCCCATTTATACAAGGGATCATGGATAAAAACCTGCAGAGAATTTTTATACATTATGAGTAATTAGAAAAGAAAAGAAAAGAAAAAAAGAAGAAAGAATTATATGTTATAGCAATATATATAGAGACAAGTGTTGTACTTCAATGATGGTCAGCAAAGCTTCTTTATTTGTCCGCATAACAGACAGAGTTTTCTCACAACATCTTCTAAAAACCCCTTCTACTCCAGTAACACCCATGCCGTCAATAATGTCCCTAGTCAGCCTGAATGGAACCTGCCAAGGTAAAGAAAAAATAAATAACTAAAGGCAAGCTGTGTAAGATGAGAACCAGATTACAAAATGGCTGATATAAGCACAGAACAGAACAGAAAGAAAACTGCAATAAGTAAAACATACCCGTTCTGGTGTCTTGAGCATCAAGCCTTGTTCAAAGGCAACACCAAGATCTATGTGAACAACTTCTGCAGTGGCTTGATCAATCAAGATGTTCATTGAATGTCGATCTCCAAGGCCAACAATATAACCTACCTGAAGGGCATAAAAGGAAGTTTCTAGCGTTACTAAATATGATCATTGAAGATATAATGAGGTAATTAATCAGACAAAAAATCTAGAAAATGAAATTCATATTCATTCTAAAATGGCAAAAATTGTCCACACAAAATTAACAAAAAAATGTTTCATTTTGTAGGGAAACTAGGGTTTGGTTGAGATAATAAGAGATCCAGGTCAACATCAAAGATTTCAAATATTCAACCATACATGTCTTCATAATTTTGACCCTGAATAGGGCTGCTTTTGTTTTTTGCTTTCATGCACACCTGGTCCACTTCTATATCTGTTCTTCTACCATAATACAATTATGTATCCCATCACAGAACAAGTGGAATCACCTACCATTGAACTAGCTGCAACACTTCGTGTGTAAGCAAGTCTTTTCTCAAACCAGTCAGCTGGTTGTAAGAACCTCTCCAGGAAAAAGTAATGCATGACAGGCCTGCAGAAGGTCAATTAAGTTCAAAGGCTAAGAAAGTATAGTACTTTTCTTCTTTGTTTTTATTGTTTTTGTTTTTTTTTTTTTTTTTTAAATTTAAGAGTTCTCTAGAATCTCTACCCCAAAAATGAATATTAATAACCTGAAACTCCCACAAACTTGCTGAAATGCTTTGCGCTTGTCTTTTTCCTATCAATGATAGAAGGAAAAACAATAGCATAAGAGTTATTTAAAGTTTAATGAAGGCAAATTTATTAAAAAAAAACAAAAATCAATTATATTTAAATGCTCAGTATGCCTTTTAAGTTTTATAGTCGAAAAATTTCTTGGATGACATTTTTATAATTAGTATGATGATTATGATGATGAAAAACACAAATAATACTTGCATTTGACATGTGCTCTCGGCATTTCATGAATGTCCAGTCTCCCATTCCATAACGACCATGGGCACCTCCATTTCTCGTGCTGAAAATTGAAAACATTAGATGAAAATGTTATATGAGCCTTTTTAACATCAGAGACAATTCTATAGTACTGTCATTTGTACCTTCCAATAAGATATTCTCCAAGAGGAAGAGTGCCATCAACCCATTCAAGAACACCAGCACTTGGAGTAAAAGGAACCACCTATTTCATTAGCAAAATTGATTTATTCCAATATGTAGTTATAAACACTCTGTACAAAGAAAAGAGCTATATTTCTTGTATCCACATCATGACATTAAGTTTTTCAAGACCATATTTAAATACCATTGAATTCATTGTAAAATATCACTTCAGTCCAATAAAATGAATCTAATGATGTTTAAGCATGGTTCTAATAAAATTTATATTAGGACGTCATGACTAGAGAACTATTGATAGATATTTTGTGTCAAAAGGCAAATAGAGCAAAGTCATGTAGAAGGAAGGCTTTGAAGATTGACACAAATATAATACAGAATTACTCCTATCACCACAGGGAAAAATAAAAAAAAAAAAAAAAAAAAAAAAAAAAAAACAGTAATTTCATGGGTAGAAATGTGAAAGATATTGAAACGGTAAATACTAAGAAAAACTATTTATATAGGAGATTGAAAAAATCATAGATAACCACAAGGATTCTAGGGGAAGAAAATCACGATACCAATGCAAGAACAGTGCGATGACCAATAGGTTAATAGTAATTTATATGCATTACTTGGTAAAGATTAATTCAGAGAAGACAGTATAACAAAAGGCATGCAAGGATTCTTCCTAATTGAATATCCAAAACAATTGCTAGGTTCACTGATGTACAAAAAGTTCCAGTAGGAATGGCACATAATTTATACCAAAATTTTATCCACAAAACAAAAGCAAGCAGTTCATCCTTTCAATTAAATCAACCAAAAGTGTGAAACAACCTTTGTTAAATAAGAGGAGAGGTACCTTATATGTACGTACTCCCAATCTTCTTTTCCATGTATCCCGATGATTCTGTAAGAAAGTGTTAAGCAGACCAAAAAATTGTTCCATCACCTGCATATCATTCATTGTTAGAAATGTCAATGGAACATGAAAAGATTTTGTTCTAATCTTAAGGGGTAAAAAAAAAAAATCAGATATGAGTATCTGACACTGGTTATCTCAATGAAATTAGATACTAAGGCCAGCTCCATCAGTATTCAAGATCTCGTATTGGACTGCCTGACATGGTACAAGAATCAGGACTTATCTTTACTCCTATTACTTCTATTTATGCTACCTACTAGATTTTTTTGGGCCCTGTGCAGCACTCATTTGTTGACTAGTCAGTTGAGCATGCAACAAGATTATATATTAGAGTATCCCAAATTGGTAAACTATAGTATTTGGCAAGGGTACTTATACTCCAACTGGTCCAATCCTAATAACAGAAGTTTTTCCATTAGATTTATCTAACAAGCACCTATGCCATGGAAAACAATAGGAAATGTCCTCTGAATGACAGATATTGAATAAAGATTCATATTAAGTGCAATTATGACAAATATCTTTTGTAACTATGCAAAGGACACATTCCAACACCAAAGATGTAGTATCCTGTTAAAAAAAAGGGAATGTAGGAAAAAAGATATGATGGCAGAATTCAACAATATAAATAGAAAGATAGATGAAATTCCTACAGCATCTTGTCTTAAATCATCATTTCCAGATTTTGCTAGCTGTCTATATTTACGACCATCCGAATCAAAACACTCAACCACCTTTGGAGCATTTATACCATTCATAACCCTACATATGTCACCAACAGAAACTGAAAATTAGCATCGGATATTGCTCACAAACAAAGAAACAAAATATGATGAGGCATCATGAAACTGCTGAATATGGACAAAGACAAACGTTATTGAATCAGCTAATCCTTTGAAGTGTGGGAAAGAGCCTTCATTATATTGGCAGGTACGGTCAACAGGAACAGTTGCAGTTACTACAGGTACCTGACATCGTTCAAAAGCAGAAATTTTAAGTCTTTTGACAATATCAGATGGTAAGAGAAGAAAAATTATCCAAAATCAAGTTGACAAAAGCTCTGGGCAACAAATTACTATTCCAAGCATAAGCAAACTAGGATGACATTTTATTTGTTTGCATGTGGCATTACCTGAAGTAAATGTGCCTGTGCAAACTTGTCTTGCATGGTAAAGTTCACCAGCATGACGGTAATACTAGAGGTAATTTTGCCCATCAGGCCATTGTTGAACATTTTGTAACTCATTTAATTACTAATTAGCTAGCGTAAGGATGGCAAAGAAGAAGCCAAATTTCTAACACATTAAAATTTATAAATGTTGAATTCCTAAGATAAGAATGTGAAAACTTAGGAGTTATCTAGGCATTATCTAGTTTTTAAATTTAAAAGTTAGGATAATCCTAACTTAAGGTTATCAAGATATCTAGAGTTAGTCTATAACTAGAGATGTATGATATGTATTTTTTTAAGTGAATAAGTGTGAATAAGTTTTTCCTCTATTTTTTCAATAAAAGTAAACATCTTAGGTTTGTCCTTAGATTCTGTACAGCTGTTAGAAACTTGTCTGTCTCCAAGATATTTGATTCAGCCTTTCTCGCAAATTTGAGTATATAAGTGCATGAATCCAGCAACACTAAGCAAAGTTAAGATTTAAGGATTAAGACCATCAACCTACTATCAATCCCATCACAGCATGTTTGAGTGCCACTCCACCTTGTTTTAGAACCAAACTTGTACACGGTAAGTTATTAATATGAGTAGATCACTTACAAGTTCCAGCTGCCGAAGACTGCGAATTTCTCTTGGTAATGTAATCCGTTTATTAGTATCCTGTTCAACAATCTAGTAGCTAAGTAATTATTCAAGAAAAAAAAAGAGCTGCAGCTTGTTCTATGTGGTAAGAATTAGAGATGCTCAGAACTCAGGGAACTGTTTGACTAACCTCTCTCCTTGTTTCAAGCTCTGCAAGCTTGATATAAATATCCACCATTTGTTTCATCTTCAGCACAGTAGTAGACAGACAATAGTTAATTAATGAGTAACACCAAAATCAAAACTTCGAAGATTACAAACGGAAAATTACTTGTCGATTATAGGTCCGTGATAGGAGATAACTCTTCCAAGAGATTTTCTGCTGCAAGCTTTTTATCCATATCCACACAAAAGAGTTTTACTTCGTGTTGTGCCTTAATTCGATCACCGTTTGCTAGAGCTAGAAGCTATTTCAAAAAGGAAATATATATAAACAGTAGACTTGAAAAAAATGGATTTATATGAAAAATTGAAAACAGAAATATTCAGGAATTCATTATATGTAACTAAAGTGACAGTTTCTCTTTCTATTTCTGTTATCAGCTGTAAATACAAAGAAGTACATTTCAATTTCTATTGTTGGTTCTTCACAAGAATGGAGAACTTGGTGTTTATATTTTAAAAAACAATGCCCTCCAGATAAAACTAAAATACCTGAAGAGGTATGGTATGGGTGGTAATGGACATCTTCTTCACAAGAGAAACCAAAGCAAACTGTGTGGACCAATAATATAGAGGAAGAAATTAAATTTATCTTTTAACTTCAAAAGTAATAGTAATAATACTATCAATAACAATAATAATAATACTAATAAATAGTAACACAATGTGATTTATACTGAAAATTTTGAGGCCCTGGACCATCCTTTGAACTCCCCATCCTTGAAGCAATTTGGTACACCCGTGGTATAAATTTATAAGACTGAACCTGCAAAATTTGATATGAGAAACCAATTATCACACAAAAAAAAAAAAAAAAAAAAAAAAACAGTGGAAATTCTAACTTTTACCAGATTTTCAAAAAACTGGTTTTGTGATATCTCAAATATAATCTATACTAAAGCTGGCCAGTAGCAGTATACCCATCAATTGTGTGAAGCATGCTAGTTATGACATTTTGTCTAGAAGAGAGACTGAACCATAAGGACACTAAACGAAAAACCTGAAAGCACAATGGTTAGAAAGGACATCAAATTCACTCAGTAACGATGATGCAGATTTTCTTGTTTGGCTAGAAGTTTATTAAATTAAAGCAAAAGCAGATAAAATGGATCAAATGATTTTAATAGGCTTTTCAAGGCCAGAGGAATTTCAACTATGTATTTCAATTTACTAGCTGAAATAAAGATGCATTTCACATGATATTTCATTTTCCATCTATGAATATATAAGTAGATTTGTTTATAAAAATATTATTATAAGCCCTTTTTTTCCCCAAAAAAATGATTATTTCAGGATCTAGGAAAACTGAAAAGTTGGAATACTTGTTTCCAGCTAAATTATGAATCAATAAATAGCATTTGAAACCTCATTAGACGTCTGAAACATAGGTATATGTCATTGAGACAGCAGAATTCAACTGAGATTTAATCATAGTTACCATTGTATTCTCATATAACAGTAGCAACCATTTAAAATCAGTCATTGCTCTACACAATTCATCCACAGAGGACACAGATTAAAAGTGCGTACCACTCTCACATCATATTTGTCACCAATTACCAAACAGCGTTTATATCCCTCCAATGCTAGGCCAAGAAAATTGTCCCTGTCATCCTGAGAAGTTGAAGACAATAAGGCAATTTTTATTTGTTACATACAAGATTAAACTAACCAAATACCTCTTAGAAGACTAACAAACAACTTAATTCTAAAGCATCCATATGGTTTGCCAGGAAAACCATTAATCCCAAAAAAATTTGCTGACAGATAAAATGACCACTAAGTATTTGTTTATCACGAATTATTTATTTTGTGTGAAACAATTCAACAAGTATATATATATTAGTGAAAACCATTGTTAAGAGTGTTAAGAGATCAATATTTACATAGAACGTTTTGAGCAATCTCTGCAGTATGTGAGAACACATTCACATTAATACTTACACCAAGAAGGTGAGAAAAATAGTATACATACCAGCAATTTTTCAGCCTCTTCCTTGTCCATTGTCAGTTGCTTTTGCAACTCTTGTATTTTTACTGAGTAGTCAATTTTGTCTCCCTAAAATTATTATAAATGAATACTTATCACATACAGAATTAACTTCAGATTCCATCATAACATTGACATAAAGGAAATGGATTAGAAGTCAGTATTAACCTTTGAACTTTTTAGCCGTCTAATAAGTGCTTCCAGCTCCCTCGTCTGCAGAATCAACATTCAGATGACTTAGCTAAACAATAATCAATCTTACTCCCACCACCCCACTCAATGCCAATGATTTTTTACCTTGTGCTTCCTTAATCGCATTGCTGCTTGCCATTCATTTGATGTCAGTCTTTCCTCAGAACTCCTGAATAAAGCATCTGCATAGTGTGCAAGATGAAAATGAGTTTGACATTGTCTTTCAATAGACTTCTTGTTTGTGGTGCTCTGACCCTCAGCAAGTGAAACTGCATGTTTCAGGTACTTCTCTAAAATAGTTCTTGAGCTGCAATTTAATAAGCATTGCACAATTAGAGAATTAAATTTTTGGCAAAACAAATAGCAACAAGTGTGATCAAACAGAGGATCAGATTTATAACTTGCTAGATCTAGTTTCCGCTAGCCACTTTCCAACCAAGCGATGTACATCTGGAGCTTCTTCATTTAATTGGTAATTTTCTGATATGTACTTTGCAAGATTGATGGCCATCTCATGCTGGTCTTGGGCGCGCAATAGCTTTGCTTCTTCAATCTGTCATTATACAAATAATCACAAAATTGATAGTTGTGATTTTGTTTAAATAACATATCAGCACTACACCAAACATACAACATATGAGGCAAGTGTTTAAATGATAAAGGTTGATAAACAGAAACCAGGAAAGTGCCCATTGCCAGATATACAGTAGAATCGTGTACTCTAAGGAACAATGGAAAAAGAATGCTCTTTCATGTCTATACTAGCTTTAACAAATACAATCAATATCAGAGGTTGAGAAAAAAAGTGCAAATAATAATAATAATAATAAAGATATTAGGTTTCCTTTTGTCAGCTGATTTGGCAATCCAATAAAAGAAAAAAAAAAGCAATTCAGAGAGTATGTTGCATGATAACCCTCCAATGGAAAGTATAATGTTTTATGAAATGCAATAAGACATGTCAAATTCTTCAAAATAACAGAAGACTCTAAGCTATGTCAACAGAAATAATCTAAAATATTAATGCTATCAAAGAAGAGAAAGTATTTATGTAAGCCATATGATTTGACGATGTTAGGCAAGCACACAACAGTGAAAGACTGCCACCGTGTGTATTTCTAAAAAGTGACCAAACAAATATAGAAAGTGGCAAAATACCTTATTTTTCCTCCATTCAATTATGTGAAAGGATGTAACAGAAGAAAAAAAGATAATATCCAAGTACAGGTAGAATTTAAGAATAAAATTTAAACATAATGGTTTTGACACCATAGGGAAAGTGTATGGAAAACTTTTTACCCTCCCAAGCCCATATAAAGTTGAATATTGTTCGCCAGGTCCTATGCAAAGTAACTTAAACTCATGCAAAGCAGCAGCTGCTAGAGAAAACCTCGAGCTCTGTAAAAGAATTGAACACATATAAGACAATTTTATTAATCCAGATTTCCTAATACTGAAAGTACTTATGATACCTTACGAAGAGCGGATGCTGATTGCAATAGGTGTTGCATGGTACACTCCTTACAGCCCAAAATTTGAAGTAGCACTCGCCTGAATGCTGTGAATGGTTCTAACAGGTTCATATGTAATTGTGTTCGGTCCAAAATTGAGCTCCAGTCCATATTCAGCCATGACAACTAGATTGACATTTAAAAACCTTTAAAAGAGAAAAGATGTTTGTTTCCTTCCAAAGCGGAAAAAAAAAAAAGACTAAAATTGAGGAAAAAGAAGGTCAATATGATCTTCTGCTGCAATCAGTTATAGGCTGAGTTGTTATTCATTATTGAAAATTGTAATTATAATATTGCCAATATCTTCCATTGTTTGCCAGTTCCTCACAAAAATTTAAAATTCTCTTTCATTTTAATATCTCTCAATTGATTCAAGTTTGCTGAGCTTGAAAAATTCCTCCATCCAATCATATAAATTTTATTTTATTTTTTAAAAAAAAAGGAAATTAAGGAGCACTTAAGTATTACTAGAAAGATAAATATTGTGACATAAATTACAAAATAAACAGGCAAGAAGAAGCTTGCTAGTCTAACATGATTGCCAAAATCATGAGTAGATACCCCAAATACCTGGTTCATAGTAGGAATTACAGGTTCTGAAATTATTTTTTGCTTCTCAGGATAGAATTTTATTCTTTCACTTGAACGTTTCCATCGGATATCCCAAGCTACACCAAGATGATAAAGAATCTGGACAAGTAATAAATCACAATCTACCAAATATGAAAAATGAATTGTGGCAAAATTTTGAATGACTAAGAAAATAAAGAATCAGACACCTTTTATACCAATACAGACTCCAGTTTACATGGCATGACAAGGGTATGCAAATAATTCTATATACATATATAAGACCTAAGAGGCAATCATTGTAGACATATAACTTCAGCAAATTCTAATCACATACTTGCTAGCCTATTAGACTAAGACCATATAATTAATAGCTTGAAATAAAGTATGGAGGCTACGATGATTACTTAAAAGCTGTTTAACATAACTTATAAGGCCTTTTAGAAGTTAACAATTGTCCAGGATGACTAAAATCAACCTTACCAACCCACAAAAAAGCACATTTGTGCATAATTCAAAATCCTAAAAAAATGTATAAATGGGGCCCCAGAAAGCCTCTTGTCCCATGACCAAGACCGATTAAAAGGTTTAAAAGCTTTGCAGCTGTAGGGGCCTTCTGTCTGCTGGATGAGAAGAAGCATGTTCAAGTAATTAGGTACCTGAAGTTTAATAATTGTTGAGTAGATATACTCGGTGCTTTCCTCACTTGCATGAGAGACGGACAATACAAGCTCCTGAGAATAGAAAGTAAGTAAAGTGCATAACATGCAGCAACCTATCAATAAAGATGAATAAAAGATAAAGCTACCTGCTTTGAATCCCTTAGCTTTCCAAAAAAATCAGCAGAATCACCTTCTTGAAATGCCCTCAAGCAACTAACATTCCAGCAACACAAGACAAAAAGATCACATCAGCAGCAAGCCAAGAGACATTATTTTCCAGTCATCAGCTCAAGACACTTAACACAAGATCAGCAGATAAAAACTTAAGCAAAATATAAATATCCATCATTATGTCGTATAATTAATGGTTATATCTAAATTTAGGGAATAATACAAATTTTAAAATAATTGAAAATGTTATTGCATCAATGTAATGGTCCAGTACGTATAAAATCATCAACATCCTAAACTTTATAAACTGATAAATCAACATAAGAGACCAATTGGTATGAGCAGCGGCAATGCTAATTTTTTTTATTTTTTTTGAAAAGAAACAAAGAGAAAATTGTTGATTGAAAAAGGTCAATGGTCAGTTTTTTTAACAAAATTCTTGAAGATACGAATTGTAAGATGTTTTATCTACTTGGGATAAAGTAAAATTTGTGGGCTTCACTTTGTGGGTCTATTATTTCAGAGTCTTGAAAAGTTTCTTCTTCTTTAAACAACACTATTACAAAGCTTCAATTGCCTCGCCAGGGAAAGATATTGGTATAAGTTTTGAATCAGATTTTTACGTATTTAGCATAAGAGATGTGTCACACATCTTGTATGTTTTTGAAGCCTTTGACTTTTTGGGACCGCTTCCCCTATTTTTCTAGAAACTTGTTCATTCTTGTATACATTTTATTCTAATATTGTCTCTCTTTTTCCCAAAAAGGGAAAAAAAAAAAAAAAAAAACTTGTTCATTCTTGTATACATTTTATTCTAATATTGTCTCTCTTTTTCCCAAAAAGGGAAAAAAAAAAAAAAAAAAAAAAGAAGAAGAAAAAATCAACAATCTAACAACCTTTGATTTACCAAGACAGTATAAATCAGCAAATTCAAGTTGAAATCTAGAAAAAAATAGGAAGAGAAACAGAAGACCAGTGCATGCACATCTATGGAGGAAAGATTACCAGCACAAAATTTTTTTAAGGTAAGCATTACCATTTTGAATAAGGAACCTGAAGTCATCTTTCTTATTCAAATTGACAACCAAACAGAAGTCTACATAAGGGTAAGATCTAAAGCTCCAAAAAGAACAATAAATAAAAGTTCAACCCAAAAATTACCTGTGCAAATTTTCATTGAAATGGTTGATTTTAATCTGTTGACCTGAAGAAGAAGAATTGGCTCCATCGTAAACTAAAGAGAAATCCCAGTTTCCTGCACGCCATGCTGCCTCATACTACACAATGATGACCAACAAATTAGGGATAAAGGCAAATAAGCCATTGAATCAGTTAAAAAAAAAAAAAATGTAGAAGAAAAACATTACTTTTCATCTGTCCAGCAATATGAACAGATTAAAGAAAAAAAAGCAAACCTGCAATTCAGTGAACTCGAGGTCGTGCTGAAACTGGCCCTTCCGAGAAGTCAACCCTTGGCAATACATATCCAGCACATGCATACAACCGATTTGCTGCAAAGATCTAATCAGCCCTTTGTAAGGTTTCCTCTCCTTCACATCATTTTCTGATAGAGACAAATGCATTGTTGGTTGCATAAGTGGTGACAAGGCTCTAGATCCACCATCAAATTGCACCATGGAATCAGATCGTACTTGTAACTCATAATATTCAAGGGCCTTGCTCCAATTTCCCTCGTGCTCTAAGGTAACAATTTGAGAAGACAGCTATTCAAGGCATCCATAAATCAAAAAGAACAAAACCGTGAGGCTGCTTGTAAAGGCATGCCAAAAAACTTAAATAGGTTTAACACTTTAAAACTATGATACTATTTCTCAGTGATAGATCATATATCTTTGGCCAGAGTCCAACAAGCATCACAGATTGTATGGACGAAAAACAATCATCGTATTTATCAACACAATCATTATAATGGAATAACTGCAAGAAGAATTAGATTTTCACAATTCAGGATCTGAAAATTACAGTGAAGTGCCAAACATAGCAGGAGATCTGCTACCCGAATGATCGAATGACTTAAACTACCATATTTACACCCTAATTAACCAATGAATTTGATAATGCATGCGCAGCCAATAATAAAGCAATTGCATCTCTAATTAAGAAAAGTACGCCAAGCCAAAAAAATCTGTACAATTTAGTAGCAATGACTCCACATTAGACATTACAGCTTAAAAAACAGCAGTACTGGGATAAAAATAATCTTCAGCAAGGTCGTGAATTTACAAACTAACCTTGTGTGACTGGATGACCCCATATAAGCTGTCAGGTTCGTTGATTTGAGTGATTGCTGAGACAAGTATTTCAACATGATGCGGTAACTGGTGCACCAAAAAGGAAAAAGAAGAATATACAATTAATATAAAAAAATAAAAAATAAAAAAGCTTAAAAAGAATTATTGTCCAAACAAAATCTGAGATTACAGTGTAACAACAAATTATGTTTGATTTTTCTAATAGCTCACATCATAGAGGTTTTGGGTCAACTATCTCTTAATATATAAACGACAAAATGGCCACTAAAACACTTTTAAGAAAAGTTATATTTATATTCTTGAAACATAGAACACAAAGTATCTCAAAGTTACCGTCTCAAGATGGGAAAAATCTGGTCTCCCCAGTGTGAGAATCTTGAAATGCTCTTCACACCAATGCTCCACATACATCAAAGCAGTAAAATACGAGCCAGAAATCTATTAATGCATTACATCAATATCAGAAAAACTGACATGCAAACATTACAAAGTAAGTTGAGCACCACAAACACAAAAAAAAAAAAAAAATAAATAAAGAAAAAAGAAAAAAATAAAATTGAACAAACTTCAGAAATTCTGATACTTACGACTGCTGACTTGGCAACAACAAGATAATCAATTGAAAGCCAATAAACCTGGCAAAATATTACAGGTCAGAAAATAAGGATTGCCAAATATTTTTCACTGAATTTAAAATAACTTAGAACAAAAGACCCCCACCCCCAAGAGAGAGGAGGGAGAGAGACTCTGGTAAGATATGCAAAATTTACACCCCTGAACCCTTTCTCCAGTGAGTTTTAATTTAAAAACAGTAGCTAGTGATAGATTAGAATTATTTACCTGTAAGGAATGTTGTAGTGCTTGTAAACAAATACAATTCTACTCAAATACAGAAACAAATTCTAGAAGTAAATCTGAAATGGAATGTCCATACATATGCAAGAACTGATAACTATACCTTGTCCCACAAAGATGTTATGTTAGCCACATTTGATGATGCTGCCCCATCTCTAACCTTTTTTGAGGTGGAATGGGATTTTGAACCACAGCTAGAAGGCTTAGAATACTGAAAAAACATGGAATAACTATCATTAGATTGTCTTACATTTTTAACCACACAAATGCTTTAGAGTTTACAAGGATTCAGTTATTAGCATCTCTTTGGGCCTTGGTCTCTAAAGATTTTTACAATTCTTCACTTTTCGTTATTCTCTCAACTGGGTTGTGGTTATCAATTAATTTGGCCTTGGGGTTTTTGTATAGATTGATTCTCATCTATATTGTATAACTAGTGTGTTTGTAAGAGTCTGTTGTGGACATCTGGTCCACTACTGTAACTCATTTTATTATCAAAACATATATTTTTGTTTCCTATTAAAAAAAAAAAAAATTGCATTAGATTTTATATGCGTTGAAAAGCATCTCGCTTTTATAAGTCTGTTGAATAATTTAATGCTTGTCATATCTGTCAACCAAATTTCATTTGGAGTTCAATATTTATTTATTTTTTAATTAAAAAGTAAAAACTCTTGTCCAGAAAAAGTTCGATTGAATATGATCATATGGTAGCATTACCCATTTAATTTTTAAAGGTACTGGTAGTAGATGTGACCCAGCTTTCCTACTTGCATAATTCAAGAAGATGAAAAGGCAGCACAAAGACCAAAATTTACCCAGTCCAAATTACGTATTTGTCTCAAAGTTTACCCACCAAATAAAAAAAAAAAAAAAAATCCTCTGTTCATTGAATATGAATAGCCAAGAGGAGATTTGAATGAAAGAGTTATATATAGCAGTAGAAATAAACGTATCGTTTTGAATTGCACCAAAGAACGTAGGAGTCCCTATAGATATATAGTAAAGAAAAAGAACCATATCTTATGATGAAGATCATCCTAGTTTCTAATAGTAACAACTAACAACTGAATTTCAGAACACAGCAAATTAAGGTAACATAAAAACTCAAAGGGAATCACATTAAATCAACTAAGGAGGTAGTTCAATATACTCACCTTAGAACTTTCTCGTTTCACTGGTACTAAAGAAGATCTTTCCATGACATGACATAACCGAAGTTCATTGAGGGCATTCAGAAAAACTTGAGTTGATTTTATCAATTTATTAGCTCCCGTCAATATATGTTCCTGCACCTGCACTATTCTCCTTTTATAAGAAACTATAGATGATGTACAAGTGAAAAGGAGATGAAGCTACAAAAGTCGCCTAGAATACCACCCTGAGAACTAAAAATCCTAAGGAGGGGGGACTACCCTATACAGAGACAATAACAAAAACCAGCACCTGCACATTGGCTACAAATTATAACCAATGCAACTGTGTACTGTACACCATCACACAATGTCAATAAAACATGCAATCGTTGACATAGTAGCATTCTTTTTAATAAAAAAAAATTATCAAAGAAAATATTTAAGAAAAAATTAATAACATTTTGGATGAGGAAAATATCATTTTTAAAGAGGTTTGGGCATGTTGCAGGACTGAAAATTTTATAAAAAAACAACAATCCACACAGCTTAAATGTAAAAATTTTAAATCAGTGAATCAATGCTCTCTAGGAAAGCCTCTCTTTGAATTAGTGCCATCAATGCAATGACAGAAGATGGTTAGTCACACAAATAAACAAGGCAAAGCAACAATGCTCCATTGAATAATAAAATAAATAACAGAGCAGAAAGAAAAGCTGGTAAAAAGAATTCCAATTGGCAAAAAATTACAGAGATACAGAAACTGTTCAAGAAAATAACCTGCAAGGAAATTAGTTTGTGTAGATCAACATCTATATCCTTCCTTCCACCTAAATTGACAAACACAGTTGGCAAGAGAAGCTCGGCAACTTCAGCTTTGAGCAATACAATATCTTGACATAATCTGAAAGCAGATGGTCAAGCAAATTAACTTTTTACTGAGGCAATACTCTGTAAGGACAAATAATATCAAAAATCCCTATAAAATTGCTGTGAATGTAGAAATTATATACCTTAGTATCACATCATCACAGTAGCCAATCAGTGAGTGTACAAGGGGACAAATCCACATCTCAAAACTTTTATCATTTGTCTCCCATACAGCGGAATTCTCCAACGAAAGTACATCAACTGATAACGAATATATGAACTATTTAATATTTAATGGACTAATAAATAAGTCAAGAGCAAAACCCAACCATAAAGTCAAATCTAACCCAAAATTACAAAATCAATTCAAAACCCCTTTCCAGATTATGTGAACAAAGAAATATCTTGAAATTCTTTGGTAACGAAGGTCCACACCAAACCTCAGAATAGAGGTATCCAAAAAAAAAAAAAACACATTTTCCCCTCTTGAATCTTCAATAATCTTTTTCTTCATTTCTTGTCAAATAACCAAAAAGTTTTCAAGATCAATAATTTTCATAAAACTTTTGCTTTATCTCATTTATCAAGGCAAAAACACGTTTAATAGGTAGATAATAACAAGAGGCTGGTGTTACCGAAAAAACTTCAGCAGTCTGAAAAAGACTATGCCACAATCTGGTAGCAATTTTACAATGAGTGAAGAGATGATTAACATTTTCCTCACTTCTGTTACACATGACAAACCAAGGACACAAACTCAAGAAAGGATTCCTTCTGAAGATAATATCAACTGTGTTAACTGACAGTGTCAATGCCCAAGAAACTAATTGAACCCTATAAGGTATCTAAACTTTCAAAATCAACTCAACAGAAGAAAACTTATTATTCCATGCATTATCTTAAGATCTAAACATGAGCTTCAAGGCTGGCTTTGAAAACAGACAACAACCTTCACATGTAGAGCATCATGCATGGAATAAGAAAAGGTAGTATTGTACAAGTAATAATCACTCATCCAGCCTTTCCCAAGGGAAATTGGCAGTGATAAAGCGAGGTGATTAATGACTCATAGTTAATATTAAAAACCCTAGCAGCGGGATCAATTATAGAAATTAAAAAAAGAGAAAACAAGTAATTAGGCTTAGATAACATGCAAAGATCATTTTAAAGCAAAAAAGAAGAAAAGCTTCTAAAAACTTTCGAGTGCACTACCTTTAGACTTCCTTTCTAGATCCAATAGGAACTTCTCCACCAGGTCAATGTCGACACCCTTTGAGTGGACCTACAAGACAGGAAGATCTTACTAAGGATTTTCAGGACTCAAAGAACTTCCAGCTCCAAAATAACATAGCACATGATATCAAAATCAAGGACACCAGGTATGTGACTATTGGCAGTAAACACACAATAGATTTAAATAACAATTCTTAATTGCTCTCATCAATGATGTTAAAGTGTTATACATGGGAGGACCATCCGCTCTAATCAGCAAATATCTCTATTTATCATCAAAAATAAAAAAATAAATACTAATAAGGGAGTAACACCTAATACTCAGCATCAAAATATCCATGTTTATTTTAAAATCCTCTCTGCTTAACTGTCAGAAATTTACACTCAAAATCAAACATTGATTCGTCTTTAATATCATATTAGAAGTAAAAAACAGCAGAGATGTGAATGGGCCTGATTCTGATGGCAGCATTCCACATGGAAGGAGACCCCACCACTACAAAATCACAGGCTTACCACACCAAAATTAGAACCTCTCCCCCATTACTCCAGTTAACAATTTAAGGAATTTGAAATTCAGCAGATGAAAACAATATCTAATAAAAAACTATGATAGAGAATAGAGAATAAAATATTCACCTCAAGAAGGGAACTCTCATAAGAATCAAAGCGCATTATAGCTCTTTGACCCCTTTCGGTTGAAAGTATTCCCTGGAGAAATAAATAAGAACATTATGATTATGGGAGTTAAATAGTCACACTTGAAGGCAAAGTCAAGCAAGAAACTCTACCTACATTTCTAAGCCAAAATACATTATACAGTATACAATGTACATTATACAGTATATACCGTATAAACAGACACTATACACATACACTATATAGTTACACTATACAATACACATACACAACACCTCATACAATACCAGATACACAATACCACATATAATACCACCATACACCATACACAAGACACACACATATACACATACATATATACAAAATTTCTCTAATTAGGACATCATGATAATAGTTCCATCAGAATCATTCTTAAATACCATTGAATTCACTCATTAGACAGAAATGATATTTTTACAAATAAATGTGTGGATGTAAAAAGGAAAGAAAAGAAAAAATAATAATAATAATAAGAGATGCAAATCTTCTAAAAGAGCATCAGTAATCGTGATAAGTTCAACAAAATGAGTTTCTTCAAGCAAAAATTCAAGAAAAATTTTCATGAATAATGCACGCTTGAAAATTTTCCCGATCGATTTCGACTGCTTGGTTGCCATGCTGGCGTGTTGCTTAACCTTTCGTCCCCTTCAGTTTAATTAAAGACACAAAACAGGAAGAGACTTTGGACTAGAAGAGACTGTAAAAACCATTTCAATCACCTTAACTCAATTTCCAATTGTGGACTGCATATTTTCTTTCCTACTTACAGGGAACCATCTGTTATATTATCCATGAAATCTTAGGTTCGCTAGATGCTATTACTTCAACTACAAACAAACCCTGGACAACTTCAAAGTCATTGAAAAAAAAAAGTAAGCAAAATAAGAAAGCCAGAACTTTTCAAAAGGAGAAATTTTTTTAGATAATAATCCACATGGACTCACCCGAAGAGTTTGTGATGTCATATCTACTATTTCAACAGAATCATCCATAAGATATTTCTTCAAAACTTTCAACAGCGAGATTAGAAGTTCTTCAGATATACCAGCATCCGTGTGAAAGTTGATTTCAGTAGTACTACCATTATTAATGGATTGACTTGAATGCATGTGACCAGAGTCTCTAGGCAAATGGAAAACAACACAATGTGGGTCCCCAATGCCAACCTGTACTTACAACAGAGGAAAGAAAAATTTAGTCTACTCTCACATGTGAAACAGCATTTAATGAAATGTAAGCAAAAGCTTGTAATGATACCATAGATACAAAGTCAGATACCAATGCTCTAATACTATTAGCATCATCTGAGCCACACATGCGAACAAGTGTCCAGACTGCATGTACAATTTCATGGTCAGAATGCCAATCCACAACATCTTCAGCTTTCTTTTCCCTCTGAGAAGTCTCATTCATAAGTAGTTTCTTGTGCAGAGCTTGAAGACTGCAAAACATACCAAGTGATATTAAGAATCTCAGAAGCAACTTAAAAGCATTATTAAATAGCAAATTTTAAATTGCACACTAAACAAAGAAATAGATCCATTTAAACAAACGTTTCAAAGTTCATAATTGTCTAATTTTAATATTCAGAAATTTTGTTCAGACCTGAACTTCTGAAGTAATATCTATAACATCTAATTTCACAAGCTAATAAGCATACACAAGCTGCTCAGCAGACACCCACCTCCAGGAAAGGAATCTTGATGGAAGGTAGCAAGATCTCTTCACAAACTGAAAAGCAGAAAACCAAAGAAAGAGGTAGAAATTGAGTGAGTGAAATGTGCAAATTACAGGAATGATGATATAACCAAAGTAAAATACAAAGGCATTTTACCTTCAATAAGTGGTCTCTTGCAGAATAGGCCTGGCATAATTCCTCGTGGAAATTTCGTATTCTATCAAAAGTGTCTATTTCAGGGAAGGGTTCTAATTCCTGAAAGAAGGTGAACAGTATATAACACAAAGGATAGAACTGCCAAGAAAAGAGAATGGCTAAAAATAATTCTCTCTAAATATATAGTATCATCAGAGACAATACCTTATAAGCACTGAATTCAAATTAAGCTTCAAGTACAAAAGAGCCTACAGCTACAAAGTCAGAAAACCTACTCTGATATAATCATAAAGAGATGGATCAGAATCCACTGTTAGCTGGAGGAGCAAAGATAAAACTTGGGATGATCTTGACCCAGAAGGTTCTGCACTAGCTTCAGAAGGAATGCAGCATGCAACCAACTTTGATACCAAAAACTACATAGCAATAAGCAGTGGATAAAATATACATTGAGATTAGTCAATGTTAATATAAGATTTATGAGGTGAGATAAAATAAATACCTGAAGTTGTTCACCTAGCACATAAATAATTTCTTTGGATGGGTTACTTTTGAAAGCTTTTAGCAAAGCAGAAATGATACGGCAACACTGGTCTTGTAAAGCATGACAACCAATATATTGGCCAATCAAATTGAAAAGATAACTGCATCAACTCAGATAAAATGATTTCAATGAGAAATCACACTCAAGCAGCATAAAAATAAATATTTAATGACAGCAGTTAAATAGTTAATAGGTACCCAAAAAATCTATGAAAGTGCTATATATATTGAAAATAAGTGAAGCACTCCTAAACTTTCACAAAACTCAAAGCTGAGAACACAGAATTACTCCAAAATGTAAAGAGAGGACTAGCGTATGTGAAGATGCAGAAAAAAATAAAATAAAAAAATAACCCTTACACTGTAATTCTACAAAAAATTGAGCAAAACAGTTGAAAGCTCATCTAAATTGCTTGAACAGACATTATCTTAGCTGACCATATTTTAAGTCTCTGATTGTTACTCACTTGGAAGTGCTTGAAACAGCAGCTCTATGCCCAAGAATATTTATAAGCACCTCAATCCCAGCCAATCGATGACATTTATGCCTGTGATGAACTGCTGCAGCAATTTTGTAATGCATTTCCACTATAAACTGCAAAATCACAAAAAACCATAATTCCAAAAAAGAAAAATTAGTTGAAACAGAAGGGATAATCAAAAGAATCCTGAATTAGAACATTATAGAATGTTGCATCATCACCATGAAAACTCTATCAGGGCGAAATATGTTGATTTTGTCAACGACACCAGCACTTCTAGCAGAATCATCCCTACATGAGTACATTATAAAAATATATTACATATAAGCCATAAATTCACATAATTTATCAGGTGGAGAGACAGTAATGTACATTTCCAAAAATCCATCGACAACTGTTTGGATGGCACGAATGATTGTATCCCTTGAAAAGAAAGGGACTGCAGGGTATGATGCACTAGAGGCAAGAGATAGAATATGGCTGACAATTGATACCTACAAATACAGTAAACAGCAAGCCAACATATTACATTCAATAATATCTTTAATGAAATACAGTTGATTATGATCAGACATGGCCTAGATGTATTTTCCATCAAGTATGATTTAAATTTAAAAAATTAAATAATACATACAAAGAGGTCAATATGAAGATATGCATGAGCAGTGAATGTGACAACAGAACCATTGTTCAAATATAAGAAGCAAACCATATGTTTCTTTATCAGTTTGTCTCTTTCATTCTCAGAAATTTCAGCCAAATGCAAAATAGAACTCTGAAGAACCATTGCTGCCATTCCATTTCCAGATCTCTCACTGCAGTGCAAAGCCATACTAACTGAAAAGATTGGCACAAAGTGATTTTTGACCAGTCCTGCAAGAGGTTGACCAGCAATCTGCAATGAAATAAATGCATCAGTAGTATGCAATAGACTATTCATATAAGGCTAAATAATAGTACCATATTTGACCAGCATGGAAAAAATCAAAGCAATCTTAATCTCTTGCTGGATGGGGAAAGACATGTTCAAATTTTTAGCTATGGCATTTTCGGAAAACTTTTATTTTCTTCCAATCAAAGAGTGTTCTCCTCAGCATGAAATTCGTTAATCCATTTTTAGACATTAAAGAATCAGGAATCTGCTCCAAACCTCAGCTACCCACTTCAGGTTGGAGTTGTCCCCATGCAAAACAAGAGTTGGAAGAAGCCAATGGCAACAATATTGCATAAAATAACTAGCTTCAGCATCTGATACGAAAACTTGTCGAATCTGCGAACAATAATAACAACATGATCAGACTGAATGACAACAGATGCTAACTTGCTTACCCAAAAACATAAAATATGAGCTACAATAAGACAAAACTAGATGTAGAGGAAACAAAAACTCAAAAGAAAATAGGAACTATTAGTATGGAAAATATACAATAAACTATCATGTATTCATTTCTATGAACTGTTCACACCATCCAACATATAAATAGGGTTCATTGCGAATACAATGAGTATATTACCTCAACCAGTGCAACTAAACTAACACCACAAGCAACCCAGCAAAAGAGGATTGAACCCAAGATTTCCTCCAAGTACTGTAAAAGACAGGAGCAAAAGAATTTATATTCAACAAAAGTGACGACAAAGAAATGAAAGTTCATGATAGTGATATCAAGAGGAGATCACCTTCCACCTAGTTGCATACTGGAGCTTTTGGGATAGATTATCAAGTGCCACATTCACCAATTCCCTGAAGTAAAGAGACTAGTACTAGTCAATGAAACTAACCATTAAAAAAAAGACAATGTGGAATTTTGTACCTCTGGCAAGGATCAATAGCAGACACAACACACATCATGAAAACAGCCTGCAGGTGCCACAGAGAATCAGCAATTGAAATCAAAAAATATTGCTCACTTGATAAGTACATAAAACTAAGAAATCCAAGAAAGTTGGAAACATTAGTTTGAAATGTTGGATAACCAAACCAAACAAGCAAAAGAATACCTCCAGCTCTATTCTATCACTGTGCAAAGCAAGATACATAAGACTAATAATAATTGTCTCCATTCTGGGGCGAGGCTGCGGACCAGCAGCTAAGGCTTCCTTTGCAGTGACGAGTTTTTCTTTTGAGCGAACAACCAGAATAGCACCAAAATTGTTACTGGAAATACCACCAAAGAATATCAATATCAGTTCAACATCCAAAACACTTCTTGATGGTTGAAACAATACAATCAGAATCAGTTGCCAATATGACACACAAATTCAGAGAAGAAAAGGAACCTAGAAAAATTCTAGGATTCAGGTGCAACCAAGAAACAAGTAATATGCCAATCTTTTCTTTCTTGCTTGCTTTCTTTTGATCAAGAAACTTAAATTGATTGATAGAAAATAAGATAGAGAAGGAGGAACCAATGATCAATCCTTGCAAACAAGACACGTATATCTGCTGCAAGAATAGACAGGAATTACAAGAATCAATTTATATGCCTCACAAAAACAAACAACATCTCAATATTGTATAGAACATCTTGACCTACAAACTATTTTAAGCACCCTGGCAAGAATACAGATTGCCCAGCTATTTTCCTTTGTTAAGTAAATTGTATACCAAAAAGCTAATGAGAGCACAACCTTAACATACAATTTTTCAAGGTGTTTGGCCTGTGGACGCTTTCCAAGCCATGTGTCAATGCTTGGTTATTGGAAACAGAAATGGAAGGAAAACCCAATTTGTGTGCTTTGTTTTTTTAGTTTTGCATTAGGTTGTCTAAATCAACAGACATGGCGCATCACTACATAATAGAAAAGTCATAGCACTGGCGAAAGTTCATATCTAGGAAGTAAGAAAGAAGGCAACAGAATAAAAAAATTATTCATAATAATTTTAGTGAAACCCACCATATATCCTGGAAAAGCTCCTCATGGCCATCCCAAGTTTGGAACAGAACACCAATTCTTCTGGCCAGAAATAACCTAACTCGATAATCAGGATCTTGAAGCATCAAAAGTATTCTCTCAATCATTGACTGCAAAGAGAACACAACAACAGTAAAAAGAAATTATTGGGGGCAGGGCAGGAGAAAGAGAAAAGGAATCAGTTTCTGCAATTATTATGAAAACACACACACACACACAAAAAAAAAAAAAAAAGAAAAAAAAAAAAATAGAAACATAACATTTTACCCTATATTCTGAAAATGAGATAACAACCAGGTCAACAAAACCATTACAGATATTGCAAAAGCAAATGAATAAAACAAGGTGTCCTGCACTGACTTATCAATTTAAGCGTCACATCAGTGTTAACAAGCAACACTTCCTGGACACATACTAAGCACACTACATATATGTTAATGTATGTTGAATTCCTAAGATAAGAATGTGAAAACTTAGGAGTTATCTAGGCATTATCTAGTTTTTAAATTTAAAAGTTAGGATAATCCTAACTTAAGGTTATCAAGATATCTAGAGTTAGTCTATAACTAGAGATGTATGATATGTATTTTTTTAAGTGAATAAGTGTGAATAAGTTTTTCCTCTATTTTTTCAATGTAGTATGCCAGAAACATGCAATAATTCAAAATGTTTGTCAGACAAACGAAGACTAACATGTTACTAGCCCACATATCCACATCCTACGGAATATTAGACTACCATGTCAGAGAGCCTATCTCATTCCTGTCAGTATGTCTCACAATGAACAAATTAAAATTGCTTATGTAAACTATAATATAAACACTCCTCATCTATATTTATTGTATTCAAATGAGAAAATAATAACTGTTTGTAGAACATGATACAAACACAAAAAAAAAAATAAAAAAAAAAAAAAGAACATATCACTGCCCCATGTGCATACTGGTGTCTTATGAGTGTATTTACCTGCCATACCCAATCATTGACTTCCTGTATGAAATTACCTGACCAATATGAGGAGTGAGTGAAATAAAATCAAATATACAATCAATCCGCTTAACCCGTCCAGACCAGTCGGAAGACAAATTCAGCAACTTTGCTCACAGATCCCCAAGATGTATCAAGCACTGAAAATCAAATAAGCAATAACTTTAGCAGAAGTATAAAACAGTCCACTTCCAATGGCGTAAACTACAAAATTGATACTTTGAAAAAAATCTGTTCCAACATCAAACACTCGCATAAATAAACCCACAAATCCACCCACCTCAACCATGGTAAAGAATTTTCAGTTTACCCACCAAGCCTAAATGAATCGATTATGGAAAACAAATATCTTATCTAAAAACTGTGAAATTAAGCAATTGAATATCAGATTAATTGACTGTGAACAAATGGCTCAAAATTTTACTATATTCAACCCAGATATAACCATCACATTTTAAATTAAATTGTAATCAGGATTGCTAACTAGTTTTTTAGTAAAATATCAGAAAAACTGTAACAGAAATGACTGTCATAATTTTTCTTCTTTAAATGCAGTATATTTATCCCAATTCAAAGGAATATAAAAATTTTAGGTTTACCTGTTCAGGCACCCTTTCCCTAAAAGATTGGCCAGCATATTTTTTATCCCTTTCAGCAGTCTCCAACAATAGCAAGGAACCCAGAAGGCCATGAATAGCAATCAATATATGAACACAATCAAGCTTAAGACCCACTTGCATCTTGATCATGTTATCCATTATATTAACCTACCAAAAGGAATGGAGGGAAAAGAGCAGCAAACATGGAACTGAGAATGGTTAAACACAAAATGACATGGGCAATAAATAGCCTGATATTGCTTAAAATTTCTGAATTGAATTTCATGTAGTCACCAACCAGGCAGTATCATACCAAGTCTGTAATTTTTGTAGAAGAGGACCAGTTGGGATGCTGACAAAGATAGTAAAGAATCTTCTCACGAACCTGAGGTAGAAAATTGGAAACAATATAACGTTCCCCAAGAAACTCAAGGATATGAAAAGTATATGCAGGTAATAATGTTGCAAATTTATATACCTCAGGGCTGCACTCTTTCTCCATGAGCTCAAAGAGAATATCCCATGTAACATGTAAAACTGAGAAAAATGCTGAAATTAGAGAAATTATGTCCAACTTCCACTTCACTGCTGAATAGGACATTCCAGTGGCAAAATTCCCATTGACAGTCAAAATATCCACGTTTTTTGTATCCTCATTCACATCCAACTCCATGTCCACAATCCTACTTTTATTGCTATTTAGTTGGCAAGAAACTTGCAGTGGTGTGTCAGATACAGATACTTCCGAAAGCATCGTCTCAGACTGAATATTACTTATGCAGTCAGAGTATTTTTCATACAGTCTGGCCAGAGCCCTTAAAACCCTCTCAATGGCCTTAATCAGTCCATCATAAAGTGTAGCATCTAGAACATCTTGATCTCTCCATTCAACAAAAACAGTAGAGCAGATAAAGCTTCTAATTGAAGATACAAGGGAGCTTCTTTCATTAAAATCAGAGTTTGAGCCAAAACAACAAAGAGATTGAACATCATTGTAGCTTTCTTGGATTAAATCAACGGAATGATCTATCAATTCTAATAAGTACTGACCCACTTTAGAGAGAAACAAAGAAACCTCTCTTTTCCTGAAATTAATAAGATACGTAAAACATAAGTAAAAGCCGATATGCAAAAAAGAAAAGGAAAAGATAAATAAATAAATAAAGATGCATAAGAACAGAACACTCTTCAAGGTAAACATGTGGCCCTTGCAATGACCTTCTAAACGCACAAGCAATGCCCATTCACCAATCATTGTTATACATTAAACTACATTTCTGTCAGACAAGAAAAACCAACACATTACAAGGGTACCATGACTGCAATTATAAATTATATACTCCATGTGACTGAAAGTCCAATAAAGAATCACAAAATAAGGCATTACATGTTGCAGGACCAACTGACAAAGACCCTATAAAAGATTGCCAGAAAAGAAACAAGGTAGCATATTTTTAATTTATTCATGTGATAGTATCTCAGAAACAAAAAGTCAGCTGAAAAGCACACAGCCCTCTCAAGTAAATAAAATATACCAACCAGCTAAGCTAAAAGTTACTTCAAACTAAATTTGCTAGATGAAAAAAAAAAATTAATCATGAAGTTTAGCTAACCAACAACATGGGAAAAATTAAACAAGGTACAACAACAATCAGATGCAATCCCAAAATATGAAACAAACCCTTTTATATTAAGGGGGTACAAAAAAACAGGAAGATTTTTTCCTCAATAGAAAGAAAAGAAAATGGTACTTGTTAATAAGAAAAGAATAATATACAAACCTTGTTAAAAATAAGCCATACATAAAATTAGACAGTAAAGCACACATAAAGAAGACCTCTGATAGAGGCTTCTTTTCAGTATCCTTATTTAATACAGCTCCAAGAACATAAGTCTCCATTTCATGCAGAAGTGGATCTCTCAGCTGTTGGGGAAGACGTATACTCTGATGGCAGTGAGATGAGGAAGCCTGAAAATAATCAAAATTGAACAATATTAATGATCAGTAAAACCCGGATATAATGAAAACTTAAGAAACAATATGGTTCACCTTAGAACTAGAATCCAAATCAATTTTTGCAAGAACTTCCACAAAGCATTCAAAAAGTTCAAGCTGCCTTTTGTGCTCACGTTCATCAATCTACAAAAACAACCAAATTTCAGCTTCTTATTCACAGACATGAACGTAAAAGAACAAAAGGTCAAATGGCAACCAATAGAGATAAAAATCAGCACACACCTTAACCTTATCATCTCCAGTGTCAGTAACATCTAGAAAAGAGTATGACAGGAAATTCCCTCTATAGCAATTTGTAAAAGGAGAACAACCAGCACAAAGAGCATAAACAGCTGCTGGTAACAACAATACCAAGCATTCATTCAATATGGAATCCTCCTGCCCAAGGAGAGATTAGCAGTTAACAAAGAATAACACAAACTCAGAAAGTAAGCAAGCATTAAACTTCTAACATGACACATCATGAAGCATCTCAAGCTAACAAAGTGAAAAATGACAGCAAAGGGGAAAAAGATAAAATTAAACCGTGTTTATCCACAACATCTGTCAATCTTTATAAAATCCAAATTTAAAGTGCATAACCATAGACAAGATCCAGAACAATACAAAGTTGTTACCAATCCAACACTCCTTGCAAGTATAAATTGATATCAAAAGCAGCATAAATTGGAAGGAGTCCATTTAAGTTATTACAGAGAACCCAAAAGTATTTCACATGCCCCCATATTCAGATAAATTGGCCATTTCTTGGATATGCAAACTTCCTAATATCAAAACTCAAAAGATTAGCCAAAACAATAAGGACAATTCAATGTAATACATTTCTTGAATATGCAAACTTCCTAATATCAAAACTCAAAAGATTAGCCAAAACAATAAGGATAATTCAATATAATATACTTTTTAGTTATTTTTCTACCTCCATCGACACCTTAACTTCACTCTCTAATCAAGAGAACCTTATCACCGTTTTTTCTTGTTACATGACTAGGACAAATTGATAATCAACTACTCTTCTTCACCACCAAAGATCCCTGGGTTACTGGTCAGGTAGATGGAAGATATTGTCAACAAAGTTCGACGGGTCAATATGTTTAAGTTAAGACAGCAGCAACAGAACGCATAAGGGAATTGAACTTAACCTAAACTCTGAGAATAAAAGTAAAGTTTGCACCAAATAAAGACAAGACAGTCACATTTAAAAAGAAAAAATATAATATTTCATAGGAATTCGTAGCCAACAAACCTTGCAGTCAAAAAAACCCAAGGTTGCTCTTAATAGATTTTTCCTCAGATGAAAAATGTCTCGATGGTCACCCTGCACACATATAAATGGTAGATATGATGCATAAATTATATTGGCATTGACTAGTTAGCTCAAGCTCTGGAAGGAAAAGAAAGACCCAGGTCAAAGTTCACCATCTTGGGACCCCAACCTCATGAGAACAGGAATGACATAGAAAAGAGACCATTTTGAAAATAAGTCTATTATGCCTAGTAAAATAAAAAGAAAAAGGAAAAAAGGCCAAGCGAGCTACTGTGGAATTCAATCTATAGAACAACTCACCCAAAGCAAGCTTACAACTTCTGCAGCCACTTCTTAATCTTACCTAGTTCAAACTGAGCAAAACTTAAGTTTAATTTAATTCACATTGGTGAGAGTCCTCAAGATATATTAGTGTAAATTTTTTTGGGTAAATCAGCTGAAGTAATAACCCCCAATTTTAGGCGTCTTTTGAAACTAACTAATTTCCAATTTGCATAACCTATCTAACTACTCACCCTCTTGAAGTGACAAATGTCACTTTATTATAAACTCTCTTGTTTAGATTTGTCTCCCTCATTGGATTTTTAATATTTTTGTGGATCTCCAGTCCACTGATGTACCAACCTCTTTCTCTTTTTAATATATAGTTATATCGTTTCCTATTAAAAAAAAAATTAAAAAAAAAAAAAAACACTACTACTTGACATGGGCTAGACAACAGGGTGTCTAGTTAAATTAGATGGACAAGACATGGACTAGACCATATCATGTCTTAAAAAAATCCACTTAAATTTATAAATTAAACTAGAAAACTTGACATGGGCAAGACAAATTCTTGTCCAGCAAAATGACATGATGCCCTTAGGCACTAAACACACTAGATAGACTTATATCAGCTAGACAACTTGTTATCTAGCAAGAATTGACATTGATTAGATAGCATGTTTTCTAGCGAAAAGCCATTTGCAATAGAAGGTCATTTTCATCACTTCATAAGAGTGAGTGCTTAGATCGGCACGCTGAACAGAGAATTTGCCACATTTAATTTGCCCCCTATTTTAGGATTATTTTAGCTAATTTCCCATTTTTCTTCACCAGATAACATCAAAAACCAAAGTGAAACAGCAAAACAAGAATCAATAATAAATTGAACACTTTATACACAGAAGGCAAGGAAAAGAAAATAAGTAGTTAAAATAGTGGGGGCAAGTGGTGGGGAAACTATGAGCAAGTGATATTCCAAAAGACAATAAGGAAATAACATTAAGGTGAAGAAATAACCCAGATGATGCCAACCAAAGCCACTTACCTGAGAACCTTTACGTGAAAAATAGCATGCAGTGAAGTACAAAACAGACCTGGATGAACATCATAAAGACAGATCAGATAAACATCGAGAAAATAATTAAAGCACCAAGTCAGACTTCAAAGTCTTTAAGTGAGAAAAAATAATTGTCAAGTACCAATAATCCCCCTCTCTCCACCTAACAAACACAAACTTTCAGACACCATGTACTGCCCTAATTTAGTTGACAAACTCTGGTCACGTGATCTATAAGAGTTCAAAAGATGTGCTTACCATGGGAGAATAGCATTGTATTCGAACTTAGCGATAAAGATTTTGCTTTTATCATCGCAAACATACCGGACATTTTTAAATTACTGAGCACATAAAGAATCTCTGAGGCTATTTAATAGTGTTATAGCAACACAGTGGGTAAGCTAAATAGTGGGCCATGATATACAATGTTCACAAATTTATAAATCTAGGAGTAAATTACCAACTAGTCTCCAAAATAGTTTTCCCAAATTTGAGGATAGAAAACAGAATAAATACTCCACAGCTCCTAATGCTTACAGATTTCCCCAGAGGAAAACTTTTAGAAAAGAAACTTCGACAGCATTATGTCAGATTTCAGACCTACATCTGTAAGACCTTGATCAAAGGACAAGATAATTATTTGTATCCACACATCACTGATATGGAGTCATATGTGAAGTTCTCCTAAGTAGATACTCTGCACCTCTATTATCAGATATTAGTGTATGATGTCAAACACTCCACCTCCAAAAGGTGTGACACAACAACTGTATTAGCAGTCTGACCAACAACGTAGAACTTTCTTAGAAAATATCTTCATAAAATATGCTAACAGTTTGGGCGGGCAAATATAATTTTTCAAGGGATTACTATAAAATCTAACTGAAACTCCAATTTTCAAGATTTTGCAACCCCAGCCTTCAAGCTCACAAGCATTAAATTTGTTTCCCCATTCATATCTTTCTTTGTCTTTAATTAGAAACATAGTATTGGAGTTTGTAGAACTTAAAACATATATTCCAAGCTCTCTAGAAAGTTCCTTACAGAAAACCGCAGTTAGCAAATATTTTTACATGAGCTCAACTTTATATAATATTAAAGGGATTTCTTGTATTTAACATTAAGTCAAAGTAAGATGCACTTACATTGATGGCATTTGTTTGAATAACTGGAGATCCCATACATCTTGGGGTATGAAATATGTATTTATTGAATCCTGAAAGAAGAAGAAAATAAGGAAATTGTAAATTGCTCAACAAGACAAACTCTGCACAGAAAGTCTGAAAAAAACAAGTAATCTAAAGATGAAAGAGTATTGTCCTCACACGAGAAACAATGCGTCCAAGGAGCACCAAAGCAGCATCCACCTGCATGAATGAACACAAATGCACATCGTNTCTCGTTTTTTCTTCCAATTTTCTGCAATTTCTCAATTTCTTTGCTCTTTGCATTTTTGTCATTCCTTGCTATTCTCGATTAAGTTATAATGGCTGAGATCCTTAAAGAAACTGAAAAAAAACCCATCTACTCCCTAAATTGTAGGCACCAGTGGGTCTACAAAAAATGGAGAAGAAGAAGTTGTGGTAGAGTAACTTCTGATGACTAAAGTTGCTCCACTAGGAGAGGAGACGGCGTCGACGGAAGACATTCTATTGGCGGAACAAGGGAGGGCAAGAGTTGAAATTGAAATTGAAGAGGAGGATGCCGACGCAAATTCCAAGCGTCGGACATGATCGTTTAAGCGATCTAAAATCACTTAAGCGACCAAGAGTAAAAGCAAAGGATCGCTTAAGGAATCTAGTATATGACAGAGGATCGCTTAAGCGATCTGGTTTAAGCGATCGTGCATCTGGGCAGAAGTTGATTCTGCCTCGGACATGATCGCTTAAACGATTATAAATCGCTTAAAGCGACCAACGTTAAAAGCAAAGGATCGCTTAAGCGATCATGTGTCTGGGCTCTTATTTATTCTTGTTCATGATCGCTTAAGCGATCTATCAACAGTAAAAGCGAAGAATCGCTTAAGCGATACTTAAGCGATCCTGCGTCTGGGCACTTATTTATTATCTTGTTCATGATCGCTTAAGCGATCGTAGTGACCAATAGTAAAAGCGAAGAATCGCTTAAGCGATACACTTAATCGCTTAAGCGACTGTGCATCTAGGCAGAAGTTTATTCTATCTCGGACATGATCGCTGTAATCGCTTAAGCGACTAAGGTTAAAAGCAAAGGATCGCTTGAGCGATAGAATAAATCGCTTAAGCAGTCGTGCGTCTGGGCACTTATTGATTTTGTCTTGCTCGTGATCGCTTAAGCGACCAAGTGTAAAAGCATATAATCGCTTAAGCGATAACATAAATGCAACTAGATCTCTTAAGCGACCAAGTCTAAATACACAGGATCGCTTAAGCGAGAAATGAAATCTCTTAAGCGATCCAGTGTATTTGGATTATTTTTATTGTATTTCATTAGATTGGTTAATCGTTTAACGCTATCTTAGACATATAAGGTTTATGATTCATTCAGTGGACTATGACCATTATTATATTTTAATTAAATTAGTTCTTTTACGGCTATATTAAACATATATGGTATAGAATATTTACATCTATATTAAACATATCAGGTGTACGATTTGTTCAATGGACCATGACCGTTATTATATTTTAATTAAATTAATTCTTTTATGGCTATATTAAACATATATGGTGTAGAATGTTTACGTCTATATTAAACATATCAGGTGTACGATTCGTTCAGTGGACCATAGTCGTTATTATATTTTAATTAAATTAGTTCTTTTACGTCTATATTAAACATATGTCCATAAACATGGAAAAGAAATATTGAAGTAAATTACCCTTAATCGCTTAAGCGATCCCGTCTATTTAGTCTTGGTCTACAAAGTGCATAGCAGATGGTTGCAGAGTTCAATTTTATATCAATATTTTATTTTTTATATATTACTTTCTTGCCAAGGACTAACAAAAATAATAGAATAACAATAGATCTTTAAGTTTTATGTACGCTGTTGATCGACAAAGACTGAAGTGTTCTTTTCACATTCTATTGAATTGAAAAAGATAATTAATAATAATTAATAATTAATAAAAAATGACTAAATATTAAATAAACATTACAGAATATAATTTCTTACTCAAATGTTCACAATATCAAAAGATTCGATAAGCGACCGCTAATAAGTTATTAACCGATATATTAAAGGTTAGATAGATTTTAAAAAACATTTGCAGAGTCGCTTAAGCGATCTGGTGTATCGCTTAAGCGATATGGTATAAATAAGCCTGATCGCTTAAGCGATCTACTGCCATATACCCGATCACTTAAGCGATCCATTAGCTCCAGAATACATTTTTAGTCATCTTCACCTATAATCGGTGCTACCACCCCCAGCTACGCACAATCAAGAAAATCATCAACAAATCTCACTCCTTTTAACTTGCATTACATTAAACACAACCCAACAACCTAAACCACTAAATCAAAATCATAACCCAAACCCAATCCATCATTAAATCTTTGTAAATAGAAATATAAAGTGCAAAGAGGTGATATACATCCCTGGACAAAATGTTAGGAGTAGGAAGAGGCAGATCTTTGGTGAAGAAGATGTTAATGTTGGAGGAAGAAGAAGGTGTTAATGGTGGAGGAAGAAGAAAGTATTAATGGAGGAAGAAGAAGATGTACAGGAAGAAGAAGATGTAGACGAAGAAGAAGATGCAGAAGAAGAAGAAGATGTAGACAAAGCTTAGAAGAAACAAAAACCAGGGGAAGGATGCGTTAATGGCGGGAGGAAGAAGAAGAAGGTGTTTGGGTTTGTTTGCAAGATTTTTTACTCTTTGGAGACTTATTATAATTTTTAAAAGATTACACAATTATTCATTAATCTTAATTAACCCTCTAATTATGTTTAATTAAGCTTAATAAAAAATAAGGCCATTTAGTTAAAATTTACAAACTCTATAGCCTTTTAATTAATTTTTAAGTTAAAATGGTGTTTTAATAAAATGCCTCGAGGAAACCTGTCCAACGTTTAAGTTTATTTACCAAGACCCCAAAGCCAAAGGTATTGGAAATACTAACCCACCTTCTTTAGGTTAAGGATAAGGGGAAACGACTTACACCTACCCAAGGTTTGGTGAAACAACAGAGTGGTATCTAAAAGGTTTCAAAACGACAAACAGGTACCTTCCGTTAGTGAAAAAACTAGAATGCCTTTTGAGAAATATTAGTCTATTTTTTTAATTACTTTTAGACCCCTTAATTTTATTAATTCCATCAAATACCCCCAGAAAAAAGTTTAAAATTAACAAAAACACCCCCACCCACCCATACTTGCCAGATTCCGGCGGCTACCGCCGATGGTAGCCAGAATCTGTCACAACGGTCTACGGCACCACCGTAAATGGCTGGTAATTCACAGATCTGGCCAGACAACGATGGTCATTTCTTTGGTCATCAGCTTCCGGCCAGATCTGGCATTTTCACGTTAGATCTGGCTTTTTTTAGCTAGATCCATAGTGGATCTAGCCAGAAAAGGCCAGATCTGTGAATTACCATCCATTTACGGTGGTGGCGTATACCGTTGTGACAGATTCCAGCTACCACCGACGGTGGCCACGAAAATCTATCACGTATAGGTGGGTGAGGGTGTTTTTGTTAATTTTTAAACTTTTTTTTGGGTATTTGATGGAATTAATAAACTTAAGGGGTCTAAAAGTAATTAAAAAAATAGACTAATATTTCTCAAAGGGCATTCTAGTCTTTTCACTAACGAAAGGTATCTGTTTATCGTTTTGAAACCTTTTAGATATCAATCTGTCGTTTCCCCAAACCTTAGGTAGGTATAAGTCGTTCGACCGAAGGATAAAGGGTGCATGCGTAATTCTATTTAAATATCTAAATTTAAAAGTAAAACCAAAGAAACTTTGATAGATTAATTATNTTTGAATGGGGTTCGGATTGATTATATTTGTAACAAGCTGGGCATGATTAACATCTATGCTCCATCTTGAGGGGGAGTGTTGTAGATTGTTGTAGATAATCATGCAGAATCTTACAGATATTGCATGATTAAGTGAATAAATCTATAATAGGATATTAGGATTGTAATCAATACATAATAGGAACAAATCTGTAAAATAGGAAGTTAGATTTTTTATTTCCTAGATTAGTTCTTTATTTTCCTATACATTGATGTATAATTTGTCAATGCAATACATAAGAAAATTACAATCAGTTCTCTGTTTGTAACAGCCACCAAGCAAACAGGCACGATTCTGGATTACCGCCGAAAATTTGAAGAAGTCGCAGCTTTAATGATAGATGAGAAGGAAGAGGTGCTCACTGCTGCATTTCTGAATGGGCTTAGACCTGAAGTAAAAGCTGAAATCAAGCTCCAACAGCCCAATTCATTAGTTAGTGTGGCCCAATTGGCCCAGCGTGTGGAAGAAAGGAATAGAACTGTGGAGGAAGTCAAGTTTGGGTCTGCGTGTTTAACTAAATGGAATTTATCTCCTTTTGATGCAAGATCTTACACCCAGTCAACGCGACCCGATGGAAGCAACAAAACCCAACATACTCTTGACCCAAGTCAACACTCATCAACCCACTCAGTCCCACAACCACCTGTTCGACGCAACCCAAACGAAACCCACTCCAGCCTCAACTCGCCATCGTCAGTCAACTTTCATCCAGATTCAGTCCGACGCGAGTTCCCCTTCAGGCGAATGACAGAGGCTGAGATCCAACGCAAACGAGAGAGGGGTTTGTGCTATCGTTGTGACGCAAAGTATTCTCCGGGTCATAGATGTGGGGATAAGCAGGTACAAGTTCTATTGTTGGAAGATGAAGATCCTGAGGAGGTGAATGAGCTATCTATGGAGGAGCCCAATGGGGAAGAAGATGCATCAGGAACAATGGAGCTTTCCATCAGTTCCGTGGAAGGTATCAGTGGGCCAAAAACCTTGAAGCTCAAAGGAGAGATTGCGGGAAGAAATGTGGTGGTTTTAATTGACAGCAGGGCGTCTCACAATTTCATCAGTCGACAGGTAGTAGATGAGCTCAAACTCCCTATAACCTCTACTAAAACGTTTGGAGTCAGAGTTGCTGATGGGTACAGGGTGAGCTGTCAAGGAGAATGCAGCGTAGTGAAGTTACAGTTGCAAGATATTTCAGTAGTCCAACACTTCTACCCTTTCGATATGACCAGTGCTGATGTGATTTTGGGGTTGCATGGTTAGAGACACTGGGAGAAATTACCACGAACTGGAAAAAATCAGTGATGAAATTCAACCAGTCCAGTAGAATTGTCGTGTTGATTGGGGACCCCTCTCTAAGCAGAACCAAGTTGTCATTGAAAAAGATTTTAAAAATGATCCAGTATGAAGGGCCAGGCTACTTGTTGGAAATTAATAATTTGCAGATGCAAGAGCATGAAAAAGTAACGGATGAGGGTAATTGGAGTACACTATTGAGGGAATACCAGATCTTATTTGAACCGCTACCCGGACATCCACCGGCAAGAAATTGTGATCACGCTATCAGGTTCGAACAGGCAAGCTCCAGTCCCCAATGTCAGACCCTATCGGTACCCATATTACCAAAAGAATGAGATAGAGAGGATTGTGCAGGAAATGTTGGTTTTCGGAATTATCAAGCCGAGTATCAGTCCCTTTTCCAGCCCGATACTTTTGGTTAAAAAGAAAGACGGAGGATGGCGTTTCTGCGTCGATTACCGAGCACTCAATAAAGTCACCATACCCGATAAGTTTCCGATACCAACAGTGGACGAGTTATTTGATGAGTTAGGCGGGGTCACGATATTCTCAAAACTCGACCTTAAGTCGGGATATCATCAAATTCGTGTCCGGAAGGAAAATACTCATAAGACAGCCTTCCGCACACATGAAGGGCACTACGAGTTTCTAGTAATGCCCTTCGGTTTATCGAATGCCCCGTCCACCTTCCAAGCTCTCATGAACAACATTTTCAAACCATACTTACGTAAGTTCATCTTAGTTTTTTTTTATGACATATTGGTTTACAGTACTAACTCAGAGGCACACTCGCACCATTTGAGGCTCACATTTCAGGTACTACTCGACCACCAGTTGGTGGTTAACAAGAAAAAATGCACTTTCGGGCAATATAAGTTGGAATACTTAGGCCACATCATTTCAGGCCAAGAGATTGCCGTTGACCCTTCCAAGGTGGATTGCATATTAAAATGGCCTGTTCCGAAGGATGTGAAGGCCCTCCGTGGGTTTCTGGGTTTGACAGGATATTATCGGAAATTTGTCAATGGTTATGGGGCAATTGCCCTACCCTTAACAAATCTGCTCCGTAAGGATTCTTTTGTGTGGTCTGAGGTAGCACAAAAGGCATTTGAAGAATTGCAACAGGTAATGACTACTGTTCCAGTCCTTGCCATGCCGAACTTTTCAAAAACATTTATCATTGAGACAGATGCTTCACTATACGGTATTGGGGCTGTCCTAATGCAGGAAGGCAGACCATTGGCCTTCTTAAGTCAAGGACTTTCCACTCGCTCGCGGCTTCGTTCGGTTTACGAGAGAGAACTGATGGTTGTGGTCCTTGCCGTTCAGAAATGGCGCCACTACTTGTTGGGTTGCCGTTTCATTATTAGAACCGATCAGCGAAGCCTCCACTATCTGAATGAGTAGCGGTTACAAGGCAAAAAACAACACAAATGGATAATCAGGCTGCTCGGATTGAACTATGAAATACAGTATAAACCCGGGTTAGAGAATAAAGCCGCAGATGCCTTATCCCGGCGTGATGGCACAGTTGAGTGTACAGCCATTTCAATCTGTTATTTCGAAAAAAAAAGAAGAGTGGGTAGAGGCCATTCAACGTGACAGCAAGCTGCAGAAAATTTATCAAGATCTGATCGTTGATTCGTCCAACCATTCGCAATTCAGGTTAGTGGGTTCCTTACTTTACTATGATGATTGTTTGGTGCTGCCCAAATCCTGTCCCCAAGTGCAGCAACTTCTGCAGGAATTTCACTCTTCCCCTGCAGGTGGTTATTCTGGTTATTTCCGTACTTACAAGCGGCTGGCGCAAGTGGTTTATTGGGAGGGAATGAGACAGGATATCCAGGCGTTTGTTAAGGCCTGCTCAGTTTGCCAACAGAATAAATATGATGCTCTGCAACCTACGGGCCTCCTACAACCTCTACCCATTCCCTCTCAGGTTTGGAAAGACATGTCCATGGATTTTAATGGGGGGCTTCCTAAAGCTCACAGGCTGGACACCATCCTGGTTGTGGTGGATCACCTGACGAAGTATAGCCATTTTCTTCCCTTGTGCCACCCTTTTACAGCTCAAGAAGTGGCCAACCTGTTCCTTACAGAAATTGTCTGTTTGCATGGCTTTCCCCGCACTATTGTCTCTGACCGTGACCGAGTTTTCATGAGTTTATTCTGGGGGGAATTGTTTAAACAGTCAGGAACTCAACTCCACATGAGCACCGCCTACCATCCTCAAATGGATGGTCAAACGGAGGTTGTCAACCGTTGTGTCGAAACTTACCTCCGTTGGTTTGCAGGGCATCAGCCGCATCAGTGGCCCAAATGGGTAGCCTGGGCAAAATACTGGTTTAACACCACTTACAACTGCTCTTCGGGAATGACTCCGTTCAAGGCTCTCAATGGTCGCACCCTCCCATTCTTTTGAAATATAGTGAGAAATCTTCTGTGGTGGATGTCGTAGATCAGCAACTCGCAGCCCGCAATACCGTCTTAGAGGAGTTAAAGCTGAACCTCACTAGAGCCCAAGAACACATGAAACAATATGCTGATGGCAAACGTCGGGAAGTTCACTTTGCCATAGGGGATTCCATCTACCTGAAACTTCAGCCTTTCCGTCTTCGATCCCTCGCACAGCGAGTCAACGAGAAGCTCAGCCCCCGTTACTGTGGACCCTTCTCCATTACGGCCAAAGTGGGTCAGGTTGCATATCGCCTCAACTTACCCCCCACAGCCCGGATACATGATGTCTTCCATGTCTCGCAGCTGAAACGAGCCACCGCTGCCCCTATGACTACCCAGCCCCTTCCCACCGTACTCACCGGTGACCTGGTTTTGCAAGTCGAACCTGAACATGCACTGCGTAAACGGCGCCTACTGAATGGTAATTATGAAATCCTAATCAAGTGGAAGTCACTTCCCCATTGTGACAATACATGGAAGGATTATGCTACCCTATGCCGCCAATTTCCTTCTTTCCACCTTGAGGACAAGGTGGCACTCCTTGGGGAGGGTAATGATGGACCACCAATAGTCAAGTGGTATAACTGTAAGGGGCAAAGAAGGAAAAGTCATACAGGACAACTGGAGCAACAGCATAACAAGTAAGGCAGCAGCACAACAAGCGTGAATGAGTTTGTTTGACAGGTGGAACAACAACACAGCAAGCATGACGAAAAAAAGAAATAAAAGGAGAACCAACAGAGGGGATAGTCATTCAGAATATTGTTGGGAATTGTGGGGAGGAGCTGACCCTCGAAGATCAGCCTGAGTTCTTTTCCTTTACTGTTTTAGCCATATTTTCCTTTTCGTTTATTTCACTGTAAGGAGCTACTGAATATCAATCCAAGTATCCCTTTTAAGCGAGACAATCACTGCCTCTATTCTGTTCTTGGTAGATTTTAGTCTAAAATGAGTGATTGAATGCATGAGTAACTGAGTTATTCGGGTTGACTCCATCAACTACATACCAGAACTGATAACATTCAATATTATGCCAGATTATGCACAAAGACAGCAAAATTATACAGATTGCATTTACATTACTGTTTCATCCACATACTTCAACCTTTTCTCAAAGTTTACCTTCAAATGTGACAAAAACAGTGTGCATGGTAACTTTTTGGACATAAAAAAACTAGAAATAGCACCAAAAGAGCAAATATTTACCCTTTCAATTATAGATACATCTTATAAACAGAACATAAGGAGCAGAGAGACATGCAACAAGAGAAGTAAAATTTGCTTGAGACTACCCTAGAAGCAAGATTTAAAAATTTAATCATTGTACATGTCAAATCAGCCCCAGAAGCAAATACATGGGATTACAATTAATTGACAAGAAAAATATTCTCAACTTTGGACCCTAAGTGATTAAAGACATCAGCAAAAAGAAAAATCACTTAACACTACCCACCATCTATATTCATTGTACATCTCAAAGTCAGATCCTAGAAGCAAATACAGGCTTCCAAACCAATACAACAGGAAAATATTGTCAAACAATTAAATCTAATTGATAAAAAAACTCAGCCAACAAAAAACTTACAATTGCGGTTAGATTGCTGAATATTGGTAACCCATGCATCAGACAGTTCCATATCATTTGCCAACCAGAATCAAACTGCACAAAAATTTCAAACAACCAAGTTAATGCAACTCCTGATAAAATGAATACACTTTATGGGAAAAAAACAGCAGCACAAAACAGAAAGATGCAAGTTGCTAAGTGATACCTTTTATTCAAAAATGATAGACCTAACATGAATGCAAATTCAGAAAAATAAGGAATGACAAGTTTTAAAAAATATGACATTGTTCTAAGAAGAATAAAAATGAAAAACTTGAATAGCAAGGTTTCTACTAAATTAGGGTTCAAATGCAACAAAAAGAAAAGGCACAAAGATTCATCAATAAATGTTTTAGGGAAAATAAATCAACATGCCTTATTAGGGGAAAACGATGACCTTGATGGAATCTCCACTGGTGAATTTGGAAGCAACAATGCAGAAGACAGTTCCTGCAAACTCCTTCAGATGCATGTAAACACAAATAAGAGGACACAAAGAAGAAAAGGGAAAAGAAACATAATTGCACAACTTTAAACTTCACATTTAATAAAAATGTCCAAAATGCAATAGCAATGGAACTTCCAACATTGTCATTGATAGTACACTGCCCTCTAAACAATAAAGATAAGCCTTGCCACAGGCTCAAAGGATTCAATCACAAAGTAACTTATTACAATGGTAAATCAAAGCTTACCGCAAGGTCCATAACAAACCATCATAAGCATGCCTCATGTTTGCATCATTCAAAATTCTGCAAAACAGCCAAACACATTAAGCAGACAACGATGTAACAACAATGCCATTTATGAGGGAAGTGATATAGCCAGCAGAAACACAGAATAAATGTGTGTATTTGAGGAAAAAGAAATATCAGGTAAAGAATTTTCTTGAGCAGCAATAGTTGGAATACTCATAAACTCCTAACATGCTCTTTGTCAACCAGCAAATGCTAAAAATGCCTATATACACTTAAATCATAGGGATGACCAATAATCCAGCATAGTTAATTGTGATAAACCCAATAACTGAATGATAATTAAAGTTGTGCCAGGATTTGGACAGAAAAAGTTTAAAATGGAGAACACCTTTGCAGTCTCTCTGATACAATCTCAACACTCCATAGTAGTACTGTTTTAAGTACAATTATTTTGACAACCATGATAGAGAAAAATATCAGAAAGATCAATACAAAAAGGTCTTTTTTTATTATTGTTGTTGTAAGAAACTATAGATCAGGTCAATACACCAAGTTAAAACGGGTCAAGTAGACAATAACAAATTGTTGATATATAGTTACCTTTCGAAGTTTGTGTAAATGCCCTCAAACCAGTAGATAAAAAGGTCCTCATTAATGCGAGTGTAGTAATTACAGATGAGACAGCGAAAAACAGCATGCCTGCAATGCATTTCATAAATATAAATGCCATACAACAAACAGAATAAAGATGAGAAGAAAGAGTGTATGTGTGTGTGTGTTTGAGAGAGAGTGAATGATTGCATTACTCTAGAATGGGCACAAGAAATCATAGTTTTATTACGCTGCAAATAAGCAAGAGCATTATGCATAAAATAAATAACATATACATACACATATCATACAACATATATTTTCGATTTTGAGAACTTTTTAAACTCAACACAGTTTTCTTTTTCCTATAAAAAAAAATGTTTTTCTCATAAAAAAATGTCAAAGACGTAATTAGCTCATTCATCCTTTTGTAAGTGTTACATTCAATACAATACTATTTGTTCTTATAAAATAAATAAATAAAAACAACAGGAAAACCCCATTCCCCATCATTTACCCACCATATTGTTGAAATTTAAACTCTCAACTGACATGTTAAAAGGAATTCCAGCAAATTAAACCTGCTGTGAGGCTGTTTAGCATGAAAGAAAAAGCAAAGGAGCTTAGAGAAGTAAAGCCTTAAAAAAGGATGCTTCTAGTTGTATGGAAGGTCTGTATCGAATTTATATATTAAACTTATAATATAGTCTAGTGGAGTAAAGAAGAAAAAGATTCCTGATCAGGAATACAGATCAGAGATTGATAGAAACTTCCAATAAAATTCAAGAAAAGTAATGGACAATGAGTTCAATAAAAGAATGTAGAAGTCTACAATAGAGGCTTTGGAAAAGCAAGGCTAGATAACGCAACCAAAATCCAATATAACTACATTTCAATTTATATCATGAAGAACATACATCACAGTTATTTCAATTTTATAATGTCATTTGTGAATACTAACAAGTAGTAGCTGCATGCTGACAAGATAAATCAAATCAGTACTCTTCCATGAGTGACACAGTTGTAGCACACTACCAGACCTCAAAATTTGTATAAGCTAGGAACAACAATGCCACTGAGTCTACCAGGAAAAGATGAGACTTGATCAAATCTTGCTTGACAGAAAAAGAAAATAGCTGGTTGAAGTCCCTTCAAACTACTTTTGTACATAAAAGCTCGATAAAAAAATTAGTTAAGAGACCTAATTTACAAAATAAAACATACCATAACCATTTTCCTCTAATGAGGGCCTCCTTTAGAAGGTGAGAAGCATGCTCCCTCCTAACCCGTTTTTCAACTGATGGTGCTTTAGTCATATTAACACATGCCTGATGGAAAATATCCAATATTATGCTAAGAACCTTTGTTTCTCAGATTGGACTCCAAATAGAATAAAGTTCAGCTAACAACATTAACTACAATTATAAGAAGGAGCTCTGGATGCTTAAGAGAGTGGAATAATACCCGATAAAATACAAGTGCCGCAAGCTCCACCAAACCACATTGAGAGCTATTGAGAGTTCCAAACTTATCATCCTTGGTACCATCATTCCTGAATACACCATGCATGACCATCCATGAAATCAAGACATAAACTCCACTATGAATTGAATAGAAAAAGAAAAATGACAAAGAATAATGATTAAAACACTGACCTCGACACACCAGCACTCGGTAAACTGCTTTGATCTAGTTCCTTACATACAACATCCAGAAGTTGTTCAACCAGAGAACTTGCTTCAGCAGCACCTCTAGTTAAGTTCAGCTGTAGCCTAGCATAAACAATAAGAGCATCCTGCAAAAGAGAAGTACATAAACATGTAACACAAACTAACAGAGCATACAGGTAAGTTCAGCTGCAGCATAGCATAAACAATAAGAGCATCCTGCAAAAGAGAAGTACATAAACATGTAACACAAACTAACAGAGCATACAGGAATAGGAAAATGATTGCAAATCATAAAAGGTTAAAAACCTTAAGACCACGATCATGCGTTGTAAGCCAACAGCGATAAACAAAATGCTGCATGGCATCATGGATCTCCAAAGATTGACAACCCAAATTTGGTCCATCCTTTAACAAATAGGTATTAACACACTCCATAAGCTTCCGTGAAATCTTCCCCTCATCCCTGAAAATGTTACAAGCAATGGCCGCAACTACCAAATCACAATCAGCACTTTTCAAAACAAATTTCTAAGAAATAGCAAGTTAATATATATAGAGAAAAGGAAAAAAAATCAATTTGATTAATGATGTACCTTACAAAAGAAAATATCCGGATAAAACCCTTAACAATATCTTCCCTAAGAGTTTCTGGAAAATCTCCAGGGGGATTTTCTAAAAGCGACTGGAGAGTCAAGATGCAGCGAAAGACCTCCTCTTTCTGATTATATTGACTATTACTTTTCTCTTCAAGGTTTAATTCTACCTTCTCCATGTATAGAAGCATTAGGTCTTGCCAAAACAGATGTTGAAGTAAGAAATTGAAAATAGTGAACAGTGATTTTTTTTAAAAAAAAAAAAAGAAGACAACTTCATTAACAGACAGGAAATTATATGATTCTCAAATGAAAACTCACTGCTGTAAATGCGCTTCCTCATGTGAAAACAATAACCTCTAACTGCCAAAAGATCTCGAAGTATAATTCCATATTCCGACTGAAAACTTGGAACATTGCTTAACACATCGAATACATGACTAAAAAGTGTTTTAACCACAGATAATAGAGGCAACACCTTTCCTGGCAGGAACATAATGATAGAACAAACAACATCAATCACTGTTCCCATAACCATTTCCATCAAAAATATATTTAAACATTCACACACATTATCATTTCATAGAGAACCAACCCCATTGATCTGGTACCTATCACTCCATTTTGCGCCAGCAAAACTGGGAAAGTAAATGAAACAGAGAGAGAATACCAAGCCATCCATTGGGAAAAGGGGAAGAAGGAAGGTAACTCAATCAAATAAACCCAAGAAAATATTTTTCCTTCCAATAGATGAATCAAAATTTTAAATTAACAACCCATTTGCAAGATCATTATCAAGTTCTGAAAAGAAAATACTACTTCTAACACCAAATGTTGCCATCGCAAGTTCATATCAGTGACCAAAGTACAGCTTGGTCAGTGATACTATCAACAAACTATTTCCAGCTTCTTTGGCCAGGGAACTTCGGAAGGGTTAGGTTTATTTAATTCTCTCTTTAAACAAAAGCATACAAACAAAAGTTGACTATCTTCACACACTGATTTTTTTTTTTTTTCCTAATAGTTATGTGACCACTTTGTAAACACATGCTGAGGGATCCGAAGTCATCCTGCATGACAGTCTCTTGCTTTTATTTATTATTCTACTTTTAACTTTTAAGAACATATCTCAACTGAAACATACTGAAACATATATGCTAATCGATAATGAAAAACTGTTCAATAAAAATTAAATTATTACATAATTCATAAACTAAACCATATCATGCAATTTCTGACCTGAAAACTTGGCATCTTCAGCTCGTTGGATGACAGTTCGAAGAGTTTTAGCCAGAATAATCTTGGGTGGTCGCCGTTTGCTCATAGATAATTCCAGTGTTACGCAATTAGTGAGCAATTTAATAAGAAATGGCCATGTATCAGCTGCAGAAACAATTTGAAAGATTCCAATCTGATATTAACAATTTATTCTCACAATGGCTCTTATACGTGCATGTAATAATTGCAAATACACGTCATTCTTACAGCGAGGAATATCATTCGGTTCCAACTTTGCAGTATTCTTTCCAAGAAATTTGCAGAACGTGATCGATCTTTCTCCTTCTAACCATGTACACAACAACTTCACTCCTTCCTAAACACATACATACATATGTCAGACCAGTGAAAACATAATTGAAAGTTCAATTTAGTGTATAATTGAGGAAGCATAAGATACTTAAAGCATCAAATTGACACTTGAGACTCAAGAAAACAGAAACAATTAACTGAAATGAGCAAAAACATTAACTAAAATGTGAGATAGTTAAAATATTAAAACCAAAAGGAATTAACATTTCGTTAATGATACCTCTCTCGCTTTGGCCTTATCGGAGGAGAGCTTATCAACAATCTCTTGAAGGTCCCTTGACGTGATCATTGGCGGGAAAACGTTGGGAGCGTCTAGAGACAGTGGGAGTGGTGAGTCAAAGACTGTTTAAGACATTTGAGACGACCTAATTAAGCTAAAAATATTTATAGTATGTGTAATGTGAGGGAAATTGGGGGGAAATTGTATGTTTTAAATATCTATGCTATCCCTAGGGTATTCTTTAATTAATTGAACCCTTTTACATTGTTATCCTTTCTTAAACCCCCTAATAAAGTAATAATACAGTAAAAATTGTCTTTATAACAGAAATCTAAGAACCTTCCCCGTATTAATGTAAGAAGGTTGGGGTTCTCGTATCATAAATCATAGTTCAATCAAAATCATCAGGTTACGAAGAGGAAAATATCCCAAAGTATCCTAAAAAACTGGACTTCAATAAATTTCTTCAACAATTTGTGATGTTTTTCTGATTTTTTTTTTTTTTTTTTAAAATATGGAGAATTAACTGGTCTTATCATATTAACGTTACTCAAGAGCCTGCAACTATAAAGCTTTGGGCGAGTGTGGGATTGATGTAGCTTCTCCAGTAATCACTTATTTCTTAATCTATAATTTAAAAGATGTTTGGTAAGCTAATTTGAAATGTGATTATACAATAATCTGATTATGAAATAATCTATTTTTATTAAAGGACTCTGAAAGTATGTCTAAGTTGCTCTTTTAAAACATAATACTACACATACAACATTTTTATACAACATTTCCCATACAACTTAATGTTTACATAAAGACCCTTGCTATTAATATCAATTATTAAATTATTTTTTATAAAACTATTTTTAGATTAAAAGTTGTAGAAAACTATGGAAACAATTTTTAATTTTACGGTATTTTTTAGTAGACCTAGCAAAAAGGCACTCATCTCAAAAATTTTACCCGCTTACCTATACCTATTTTACCTATTACCCACAACTACCCGACTCGTACCCGCCTAACCCGCCCGTTTGCCAAGTCTAGTTTTTAGGATTGTATTTGAAAACTAGTTTTGAAAATAATAACACTCATTTTTGCCAAACGCATTTTCATAAGATTTGTTGTATCCCTTCTTTTCAAAAAAAAAAAAAGAAAATTTTATTTAAATTCTATATCAAAGAGGCCCTAAATAAATTGAGAAGTAATTAAAGTCTTACAACTTTGCAATACTTCTTTCTCTACTAAACTATCTTTTAATTATAAAAAGTATTTCAATTTTGTGATAGTGTGATTTGATTAAGCACATAAGAATTGGGGTTCTCACCTAAAAGTTGGGTGTCAAAAATATATTTAAATAAAAGAATTAAAGGTAAGCTTCACAATTTAATGTAAGATTAAATTTGTAATTATAAAAAGAGTTAACGAGCTGTTCCCACCCAAGGTTAAGCAAAATATCAAGTTCCCAACCCTAGTTTCATAAACTTCATATTCCCCCCTTGAATTAATATTGTTAGTGAATTTTGACTTCTGACACAGTTGCAGAGGATGCTATTACCATACTACCCTTGACTTTTGATTTCACCCCCACCCAACCGCTATCACCATCATCATCCAGCCGCCACCACCACCACCACCTTTCAACACCATCATGATCGAAACCCCAGAGTCACCACCACCATCACAATCCTTCTAAATCCTAAAGTCAACCCCACCACCACCAAATCACTCACAAAGTCAACCACAAACCACTACAAACTCAGCCACAAACCCACCCAAAAAACATCACAAAACTTCGCTATAAACCCATTTACAAACCAATCCAAAAACAGCCACAAACCCACCCAAAAACCACCATAAACTCAACCACAAACCCACCACAAGCTTACCTACAAACCCAATGACTACCACCACCCTTATCTAAACCAACAGAAAAACACCAACAAAACCGGCAAACCACTCTTAAGCCACTGAGATTAATCATCCAAATAGAAAACACTAAATCTGCCACTGTGATGGCCTTATGCCACCACAAGTGGCCAATCAGTCGCAAAGCACCACCAATCCATCCCAAAAACTATAGCAGAAAAATCTCATAACACAACAAACCTCGGTGGCACATCGGACTATAGGAGTGTTACAAAAGTGCAACGGCATGGTTGGGCTAGCGATAGCAAATTGCAAACGGCCTAGCGCAGTTAGGTGAACCAAGAGGACTCCATGGGGATAGCAACTTTGAGTGAACACTTCGTAAGAGCTCACCTAGCGAGCACGAAACTAGTGTCGAGTGAGTAGAAACACAAGTCGCACGGCTGCACAAGACTTTCACACGAAGGACAGTTGCTCACACAAAAACATTCAATCAATTGGAGGCGCGATCACGTGTGTGAGAGATGTCGCGCGAACGGAGAAACAACGGCCGAACTTCGTCGAATCAATTCTGGGCATGCTGGTTAAGGAGGAAAAAAGGAAAAGAAGAGCCAACGGTGGTAGGGTGATGTTGGGTGGTTAACCGGATATGGGAGAGAGAGAAGTAGGATGACTGTGGTGTTGGTGGTTTGGAATAGGGTGGGTTCAATGAACATTTTACCCTTTCACCATTTCACTAAACCATTTTCTTTTAATTTAAGGGTGAGAATCTAGAATTTATGAAACCAGGGGTGTAAACGTTACATTTTGCTTTTATAAAAAATTGTAAAAGAAGGGGACTTCTCTATCCAGTGATGGGGCTTGTAAAACCTCTCAATTTTCAATTGCATACACATTTTTAATTTAAGAAACTAAAGTTAGGATTTAGAAAAGAAAAAAAAAAATGGGCGTAAATGACACTCGTCTGAAAAGAAAAGTGGTACAACTCTTTTGGTTTGCATTCTAAAATTAGTTTTATATATTAAAACTTTACATTCTTTAATTAAATTCCAAAATTAACTACACTTAATCCTCGATAAATTAATAACCTCAATAAATAATATTTTTTGGCCAATCCCGACTTGGGACCAATGTGGTAAATTAATAATTTACTAAATTTATAAGACAATACATTTAAAAAACGCACACACACACAGGTACCACTTGATATATATATATAAATTAACTATAAAGGCCTTTGAGCTATTCCTTATATCATATTAACTATGAGTTATTCCATATGCCAAATTAACTCCTAGCTATAAGCTAAGCCAATGATGTTATTTCCAATAGCTATTCTCTATAACACATTAACTATACACAATATACTAGGGGTGGAAAAAAAAACTGGAAACTGAACCAGACCAGACCAAAACCGAGCCAAAAAACCAGTTTTTTCTTGGAACCGATTTGGTTTCAATTTAGGAAAATCTTTGAATTGGTTTTTCAATTCAGTTTCAATTTAGCTTCTAAAAAATTGGGTTAAACGAATCGGTTTTGTAAATCGGTTTCCACCAATAGGACTAAAATGTAAAGTCCCTAAAAAATAAGTGTAAAACAAAAATGCTAACATTATTCGCAAAGTTCAGCCAAGTGCATGCCGCCACCGAGAGAGAGTGTTAGAGCGAGCTGCAACCGAGAGTCACCGACTGCAGATCGCCAGACGGAAGCTAATTAGTCACTGACAAGTCGACAACACCACCAGAGGTTCCTTGATTGATCGCAGATTCCTTGATTTCCGATTTTCAACCTCCATTATCTTCATGTCTTGCTAATAATTTGGTAACCATTCTTTAGATTCTGCAAATTTTCGATTTTGATTCTTCACTTGCCGATTGCCGCCTCCGTCGGCTGAGCAATGTAAGTTGTTTATTTTTTGTTTTTATTCATTGTTCTTTTTATGTTTTCAAGTTTGTCTATTTTAGCTTTGTTTATTTTTGTTTTTGTTTTTTTGGTTGCTTTCTTGAATGTTGATGCGTTGTTACTACAACATGCATAAATAGCAAGTGCACGAGTCACACAAAATAATAAAGTCATGAGTGAGTATCGTTCCCACGAGGATTGGTTGCTAAGCACTAAGTTTTCTACTGTTTTCAAGTTGGAGCAATCGAGTTGTTTGGATTAATGGGAGAAAATTTAACTTAAAACTAAAACAAAATTTATAAATATTCAAAGCTAAATTATGAAAGCAAGATTAAAAACAAGGTAATATCAGTTTAAAACAACGGGTAGGGTTTTGATTTCATTCGGACTCTATGGATTAAACCTACAGATTATGCTATTTCCATATTCACATGCATTGATTGTAAATCGAATTCTCTAAATTGTAAACATACCTTCTCATGCTATGTTTTCCTACTTTTCTCTAAACAGAAATCAAGAACCTTCCCGTATTAATGTAAGAAGGTTGGGGTTCTCGATAAATCATAATTCAATCAAAATCATCAGGTTACGAAGAGGAAAGATCCCAAAGTATCCTAAAAACTGGACTTCAATAAATTCTTCAACAATTTGTGATGTTTTTCTGATTTTTTTTTTTTTAAATATGGAGAATTAACTGGTCTTACCATATTAACGTTACTCAAGAGCTTGCAACCACAAAGTAGGAGCGAGTTGGGATTGATGTGTTCTTCTATATCACTTATTTCTTAATCTATAATTTAAAAAATGTTTGGTGAGCTAATTTGAAATGTGATTATACAATAATCTGATTATGGAATAATCTATTTTTATTAAAGGACTCTCAAGTATGTCTGAGGTGCTCTTTTAAAAATCAAAATTTGTGTGAAATATTAATTACATAAAGACCCTTTAATATCACTTATTAAATTATTTTTATAAAACTATTTTCAGATTAAAGTTGTAGAAAACTATGGAAACAATTTTTAATTTTACAGTATTTTTTTAGTAGACCTGGGAAAAAGGCACTCATCTCAAAAATTTTACCCGCTTACATATACGTTACCCACAAAACCCGACTCGTACCGTCCAGCCTGCCCATTTGGCAAGTCTAGTTTTTAGGATGTATTCGAAAACTGATTTTGAAAATAATAACACTCATTTTTGCCAAACGCATTTTATAAGATTTGTTGTATCCTTATTTAAAAAAAAAAAAAAAAAATTGTACTAAATTCTATATCAAACAGGCCCTAAATAAATTGAGAAGTAAT